TTAATAATTATGTGAAATTTCTTTTTTCAATTGCGATCAGCTGTTCGTAGCGACCGCCGCCATCTTGGTTACTGTTACCACGAAATTAGGATGGAGAATTTTGTGGCGGGAAAAAAATTTGATAGAAAAATAGGAAAAAGAAAAATAATTGTAATTATACCTACACTTATTATCAATAAATAGTGAAAATTATTTATTATTAATTCATAATTAAAATTATTAATTATTGTATATTATCAAATAATAAAATAATTAAAATGATTAATTATTAAATTTAAATTATGTTTAAAATTTAGATTAATTAATTTTGAATTACGAACTACAATTATTAAAATTGGTACTATTATAAATAATTGCTATTAATGATTTATAAAATTTATAAAAATTGAAAAATAAACTTTTCAAGTGTCTAATAATTTAAATTAATCATTAAGCAGCAAATTTTTTTTCTATGGAAAACAAAAAAATTACAAATATGAATAATTCCTCCTCTCGTTTGTCAATAGATAGTCAAGAGCTGAATTTTCAATTTTGTTCAATGCGTCATTTAGGGAAAAATTGAGTTTTCTTCTGAAAAGTAGATGAGAAAAAGAATTTAATATCAATAGACAGAAAAGACTCACCTTTAAGAAGTTCATTTCAAGGTAAGAGAGATGTTCGTAGGGTTAGTTATTCAGTATTTTATGGTTGTAATTTGAAGGTCTTCTTACATTACATTTTGCGTAAGGACTATTAATGATGCGTATCAATCTTCTTTTGCTGTTGTGACGCAAATGATTCGATCACGTGGTTCCCTCCATACAGCCTTCGCTATATACATTGTACCGAACATATGTGTGGATATATAGTAAATATAAAAAATCTATACATACATATATGCGATTTGTTCACATATATATAGGTATATAATCTTCCTCGGACATAAATTTCATTTATCAGATATCATTTTCGCACCCACTGAACCGAAATTAATTTGCAAAATCCTCCCGTGTATTGATTTCATTTGCATTTAAATTCTATTTTTGAATCTTACGCAAATTATCATATGCAGAAATATGTGTGAAATTATTTTCTTTTAATTTCTTGTTTTTATTTATGTTTGGTAGGTTTACTGATTTATTTACTTGGCAACAATTTTTAAAGAGTACCTACTAGCAATAGTTGGGCTAACTTCTTCCTACATTTTTTAAAAATAAAATTAGCAATTTTAAAAATAATAGAATTTAAAAAATGTTCTAATTTAAATTTTTGTTGAAAACACTAAAAAAAATTCAATTTTGGAGAAATTACAAATAATTGCAGAAGATCAATTATTTAAAAAAAAAAATAAAAATCTTCTTATAAAATTGAACTATGTTAAAAATTTGAAAAGAATTCTCGTAAAAATCCCAATTATCTTTATATAAATAACAAAATTCTTCTCCAAAGTTAAATTATTTTCATAAATGTCAAAAAAATTCTTGTCCTAATTTCAATTATTATTTTCAAAAATAAAATGCATTTTTCTAATTTCAATGAATTTCAATATCTACTATTTTAATAAAATTTCCCTAAAAGAATTCAATTATTTCAAGAAAATTTTAATAAAATTGTATACAAGCATTTAATTATTTTCATAAATAATAACATTTTTTGAAGGAATTCAATTATTATTTTCATAAAAAATAATTTAAAATTCTAGAAAATAATAATTTAATTAAACTCGATATCTTCATGTTTTATAACAAATACTTTTATAAACTGTTTAATTTAAAAAAGGTTTGAATTTGAAATTTTTGAATGTTTTAATTTTAATTCCTGTGGAAAATCCTGTTTCAAAAATAAGATTAAAAATAGGAATTGTGCAAATATTTTTCTTCTTTTTCTAAAACAAAATAATAATTTTGTTAAAAAAATTGTGATTCATGAAGAAAAATAATGCAAAAAAAATAAATTTTCTATTTCTTAATCACAGTTGTTTAACAATTTTCTAATTTTCCTTAGAAGTAAAGAACAAAAATCTGCATAATTTCAATTTGACAAAACATAATATTTAACAAAATTTTTGTCTTTTAATGAAAAGAAGTGAAAAAAATTCTGATGATTTCTATTTGTCATTACAATTTTGAATTAATTATAAAATAGAAATTGAATTGAATTGAAAACGAAATTAAAATTTTTTGAATTATTAGAAAATAAAGGGAAAAAAATTCTGTTATATTTATTTGTCAATTTCCTTAATTGTAAAATTATTCGAAAATTCAATAACTTTAAAAAAAAAAATTAATTCTATACATATAATTGTCAGTTAAAAGTATGAAAATATCAAATTATTAAAGATTTTAATTAGAGAAACTTTTCGAAATTCAATTATTTACAAAAATTCACGTTATAATGCTTTTAATATTAAATTATAATCTAAAATTTTAACTGAAATTATAAAATTCAATTATAATATTGAATTCCTGTGAAATATTTATTATTTATGAAAATAATTAAATATGTGAGTAGAATTAAAAAAAAAAATTTTTTAATAACTAAATTCTTTTGGAAAATTTTATTGAAATAGGGTAGATATTGAAAATAATTTAATTGAGAAAAATTTTTGAAAATTAAATATATTTCTACGAAGAATTTTATTAAACTTCTTTTAAAAAATGATTGAATTGTACGAAGAATTTCATTAAAACTTTTGTTACAAGAATTCAAATCTCTTAAGAAATTTAATTAGAAATGCATTGAAAATAATTATTAAATTCTAATAAACAAATTATTTCAGAGTTTTTTTGAATTAATTGAATTCTTTCGTCAAATTTTAATAAAATTTTTAAGAATAATTACATTTTTCGAGAAATTCGATTAAAATTAAATTAAAAATGTGAAATTTTTCGATGAGTTTTATTATTTATGAAAATGATTGAATTCCGAAAAAGAATTTTATTATTTACTAAAATAATTGAATCATTTTAAAATTTTTTATTATTTTTGATAATATAATTAAATTATTGCGAAGAAATGTATAAAAAATTCTTTAAAAATTTTGGAAAATTTGTATTATTTATGAAAATAATTAAATTTTTAAAAAAAGATTTTGTTTTCAGAATTTTTCTCATGGAGTTTATTAATTTTTATTTAGCATTTATTGTATTATTGTAATTTTATGTTTTTAGCATAATTTTTATTTTTTGCTTATTTTTTTTATTATTAGTTTTTTAGTCATATTTTTATTATTATTTTTTTTAGTCACATTTTTATTTAATTATCAGTTTTCTATTCTTATTTTTTCTTTTTTTTCCTATTTTATTTATCCAAATTAGAAATATTCAATGAAAATTTATTTCGTTTTTCTTCATAAACACTCAATTTGTAATTGATGTTCTTTTTATTCGATTTCCTGAGAAGATAAAATAAAATTCCAGTAATGACATTTTTTTCTTATTTTTTGTTTTCTTTTTCTTTAAAGATATTAATTCAATTTGATTAAGTATGTAATGATGAATTGAGGAGTAAATATTTTCAATAAAATTAATAATCATTTGGGTACAATGTACAAAATATCACTGGTACATCAATAAATTATTATCAAAGAGAATTTCTCGTTATATGATTTCAGTGCGATGATAAATCTCGTGTACGATAAGGTCAAGTATTAGATAGTGAAATGTTAAGCAATTACAATAAATTCTTTTATTACTGAATAAATAAAATAAATTTCAGTTATTAAGTATTCTTTAAAGTATTTACACGCCGAGTGTGTAATTTCGTGTGATTGAGATTTTTTTTGTCCCGGCAAATTTATAAATAAAAATAAAGTAAAAATGTCCACTGGAGTTATTTTATCGAAATTAAAATATCCAAGTAAGAAAATAATTTACTATTTATTTATTAACTATTTAAAATAAAAAAAACCTTTTTTTTAACATTATTTTTCCCCTCACTTTTTTTTAACATTATTTTTTCTCTCACTTTTTACTATTATATTTTTTTTAATATAAATTAAACTATTTTGATTAGTGTTGATAATTATTTTAAAATTCATTTATTATTATTTTATTTGTTTAAAATTCATTTTTTATTACTTATTTATTTTTATTAATATTGTTAATGTAACATTGGGTGGGGCATCTTTTTATTTTATAAATGATAATTCTGTAATTGGTCCACGTGACTGTTGGATTTATTGAAATAAAATAAAATTAAATAAGATTAAATTATTACTTTTCAGTACTTTATTTTTCGTATTATAAATTGAACTAAATAAATTTTAATTAGTGTTGATATTTATTTTAATATTATTAATTTCAATTTCTCCTTAATCGAGTTATTTCAAATAAGAGTAATTAGACCAATTTCCAAGTTTAATTTAGTTCCTCTAGAAAATCGGATAAATTCATAAATGTTCTTTGAATCAAATTCAATTAAGTAAGAGAATATTAATAGTATTAATTAATTATATTATTATTAATATTCAGTATTATTAATAATAAGTAATAATAATAACATTAATTATTATTTAATATTAACAATATTTAGTCAAAATAAGTAATATAATATAATTTTTCCAATAAACAGTTATTTGGATTATTACATTAATTAAAGCAATTACTGTATTGATTAAGAAATTCATTATATTAGAGTACTTAGTGATTATTTTTTAAATCATTTTTATTCTTTAAGTAATGTTTATTATTATTTTTAATTATTAATTCTTAACCATTGTAAAAATTAAGATTGATTCTATCGTCTTCAACATTTTTCTAACTATTGTTTAAATGTTTAATTAGTTAATAATAATTAAAATAATTAATATACTAATAATTAATATTAGTTAATAATTAATATATTAATTAATATACTAATAACTAAAATACTGTTATTGATATTTTCTATTTTTTCATTATTTTTTATATTTCTTCATTTTTTTATTTATTTTTATTTAAAAAAATTATTATTAAATTTTTTTTTTATTAAAAAAAAATTAATCAAGCATTTTGTTTTATAAGAAAAATTCTTTGTTGCAGACATAATGCTGTCGACGGACGTGGAGGAATTGCCTTCAATCAAGGTTGGTAATTTTGTTCTTCAGTTTGAACTTGGTCCACCGAGTCCTGAAATTCAAGAAGTCGCGAGAGAAGAATTGAGGGAATCGCCTGAATTACAGAAAGAAGCAGTCTCACGATTACAGGAATTGCTCAGAGGTAGATGCAAAAAAATTTTCAATTACTTTCTATTTATTATTGTCTTTCGAATAAAAGTTTCTATTGTTGAAAATTAAATTTTTTTATTAATTATCTATAAACTATTTCTTTTCGAATAAATAAATTTTTATGGAACAAATAAATTTCTATTGAATAAATAAGTTTTCCACTAATTTTCTATAAACTGTTTTTTTAATAAATAAATTTTTAATCAATTTTCTTCTAATAAACAAACTTTTATCGAATAAATAAATTTTTATCAAATAAATAAACTTTCATCGAATAAATAAATTTTTTATTAATTTCTCTAAAGTAAATAATTTTCCTATTAATTTCTAAAAAATATTTATTCTTTTTTTCGAACAAATAAATTTATAAATTTATATGAAATAAATATATACGAATTTTTATTAAATAAATAGAATTTTATAGAGGGAATAAAATTTCTATTAATTTCTATAAACTATTTTTATTCGAATAAATAACTTTTAATTTTAATCGAATAAATTAATTTTCTATTCGATTCTTTAAACTATTTTTATTCCAATACAGTAAAACCTGTCGAAATGCAACTCGATTTTTAAAATTTGATCACGTAAACAATCCTTAAAAAATTGTTTTGTAATTTAATTTTTTACTATTTTTATAATATTTTGGAACTAAGTAAGTGAAAATAATTCTTGTTGGATAATATTCATTGCAAGAAAATATTTAAAAATAGCGTTGCATTCCGACAGGTTCGACTGTAAATAAATTTTTATGGAGAAAGTGAATTTTTACAAAATAAATAAATCTTTATCGAATAAATATTCGAAATAAATATTCGAATAAATTATATTATATTATATTATTTATATTATAAATATTCGAAGAAATAAAGTAACACAAAAAAAAACCAAAAAAAGTAACAAACAACAAAATTTGTCAATTTTTCGATTATTTCCAGCCGAGCCAGATCTCCACTGTCCATTGGATAATGAGGCATGGCTAATACGTTTCTTGAGGCCCTGCAAATATTATCCCGAGTCGGCGTCAAAATTAGTGAAAAATTATTATAGTTTTAAAGTGAAACATTCAAATGTTTATTTAGGCCTCAAACCAAGTAATGAGAGAAATATATTTGAACACAATATTCTCACTGTATTGCCAAATCGCGATCAACATGGACGACGAATTTTAATTATAGAACTAGGAAAAAAATGGAAGCACAATAAATGTAGTCTCGATGAAGTATTTAAGGGTTGTGTTTTATATTTGGAGGCGGCAATGTTAGAGCCAACGTCACAAATTGCCGGCGCTGTTGTTATTTTTGATATGGATGGCTTGTCACTGCAACAAACGTGGCAATTCACGCCGCCATTCGCCAAAAGAATAGTCGATTGGCTACAGGACGCTGTTCCATTGAGAATTAAAAATATTCACATCATCAATCAACCGTACATCTTCAACGTGGTCTTCAATCTCTTTAAACCATTTTTGAGAGAGAAACTTAAATCGAGGGTGGGTTCAATATAAATTATTATTATTGTAAATTTTTAAATATTTTTTTAACTTAATTTTTTCCCCAACTATAACTGTGAAAATTCTCAATTTCATTTTTTTTTTATATTTTTCCGGAACTGGTTCATAACTTTTTAAATACTGCTTTTCAAATATATTTACTTATTTATTTTTAGATTTTAAAACATTTTTTCCCAACTGTAATTATAAAAGTTTAGTACAATTAAAATTCGACTTGTTTTTTGCGGATCTTGTTCATTAATTTTTCCTAATTCAAATTATTTATTTTATTTATTTATTTACGATATTTCATCATTATTAGCTTTTAAAACATTTTTTTCGGAACTGGTTCATTATATTTTTTTTTGAGATTTCAAACCATTTTTTCACAACTATGTATAATTATAAAAGTTTCGTACAATTTGAATTTTTTTCGGAACTGGTTCATTATTGTCTTTTACTGTTGCTATTCATTTATTTATTTTTAGATTTCATATTTTTTTTCCACAACTATAACTATACAAAAATTCGGTACAATTGTAATTAGGGTTGTTTTTTCGGAACTGGTTCATTATTTTTTAAATAATGATTTTAAAGTTTATTTCTATATTTATTTTTAGATTTCAAAACATTTTTCCTTAACTATAATTATAAAATTTTTTGGTACAATAAAAATTGAATTTTTTTCGAAACTAGTTCTTTGTTATTTTATGAATTATTATTTAATAATAAATAAAATAAAATAATAATAATAAAATTATTATTATTTTCTTAATTATGTAAATTTGATAGAAGGTAAATATTCTTTTGTTTTTTACGGAACTGGTTTATTATTTTTTTTTTAAATTTGATACAATTTGAATATTGGTTTTTCCAAAATGGTTAATTATTTTTTATTTCATTAGATTTGTAAAAAAATGTTTCCCTAACTATAATTTTGTAAATTTGTTTAGTTGAAATTTATTTTTTTCTTTTAGAACTTTTATCTTCTAAATATTATTTCATTAGATTTTAAAATATTTTTCCTAACTATTAGTATTTTATCTTTGATACCAAGTAAATATTGTTTTGCTTAGATTTGTTTTTTTGCGGAACTGGTTCTTTATTTTTTTACTACTACTATTAAAATTGATTAATTATTAGATTTCACATTTTTTTACCAACTATAATTATAGAATTTCGTTCGGAACTGATTCATTATTTTTTTAATACTGCTTTTATTTATTTATTCACTTGTTTATTTTTATATTTCAAAATATTTTTGTCCCAACTATAATTACGAAAGTTTTATCCAATGAAAATGGTTTTGTTTTTACAGAACTGGTTCATTAATTTTTAATATTCCCATTTTTATTAGATTTATTTAATATCTTTTCTAAAATTATTTATTGTATTTACTTATCAAATTATGTAAATATAATACATTGAAAATATTTTTTTTCCTGAACTGGTTCATTATTTTATTTTAATATACAGTAAAAATTTGTTTATAGATAATATTCCATGGCACAGACAGAAAATCTTTGCATCAACACATGTCACCAAAATGCCTTCCAAGTTGCTATGGAGGAACTTTAGAAATTCCAACAATATCCGGTCCTCAGTGGCTTGAACTTTTACTAAAATGCGACAAGGAATTCGACGGTAATTAAAAAAAATTGAAAATTAATTTCTAGAATCACTTTATTTATTAATATTTCAAATTTAAATTATTTTATAGTTTCACAAATTTTGTCAATATTTATTTTGAAACCAAAGAATCCTATTTTTAATAGACATTTAAATTTTGTCAATTAAAATTTTGGAAATACATTTTTTTCTAAATTAAAATTTTTTAATATTTTAGAAAAATTCTCCAGAAATTTTTAACAAGTTTTCCAATAGTTTTTTTAATAATTTTCTAATAATTTTTCGTACAGTTTACTAAAAAGGTTGCTTTTCAATTTTTAGCTATCAACTCGTATGGTTACAAGAAGAAATAAAACTTATAGAGATTTATCTTGTTTCTTTGGAGAAGATTTTTTTGGATTAGTTGAAGATTAATTTCCGAATTGTTTTACAAAAAAAAACATATCCTTCAACTGCCTTTAATTGCTCATTTTTTTAGTGTAAATTATATTTATATAATTATTTTATTTCATATAACGTGATAAAAAGCCAATTATCGTGCGAGTAAAGAGAACATTATTACTTTCAGACTAGTTTTTAATAATTAATTTACAGAAGGTTTAGTGTACGGAAAGGTTGAAAAATATTATTGTTGTGTATTATAATAATGTGTATTATGATAAATAATAATTTAAATCAAATTATTCTTGTTTTGTAAAAGAAGAATTTTCCAAACATTCTATTTTTACGAATGTTTTAAAATTAGTTTATAATAACTTAAAAATGCTCTCTTCACAACGTCCTTTTTACTACAACGAAAAAATATTTATAAATATTTATAAAAATTATAAATATTTCTTTAAAAAATTGAACGAATAAAATATGCAATTATTCGAATAATTTTTATATATTGTTATATAAATATAATATATATATGACAATTTTGTAATACATATCAGAAAAGTTTATAAATTATTAAAAATAGGAATAAAAAATAAATAAACAATTATTCGTAATGAGAAAAAAATCAAATTTTTTTTCTAAATTTTTTGTTCAAATAAAAATTTTTACAAGAAGATCAAAATTCTAATAAAAATGAATTAAATTTTCTGTGTTAGAAAGTAAAATTTTTGTATTATAAATTATAAATAAAAATAAGTTGCGCATATCGAAAATTTCTATTACAAATAAGTGTTGCAAATAAAAAATTATCTATTTGTATAAGTAGTAAAATATTTTATTAAAATGTTAAATACAAATTTTCTAATATATTAATCTCTCTTTCTAAATAAAATTTTTTTTTTATAATCGTCGGGAATGTTAATTTTTAATTATAATTTTAGTTATTCTATTATTGTAATTTATTACAATAAAATAATTTGAAAATTATAAATATCTTAATTTATTATTAAATATTTTATGTCTTCTTAGGGACAATACTTTCATCCATTTTCTCTATTTTATATATAAAGAGAAGATACAAAAATTCGTATCTATTCGCCACAAGTACTAAACAAATAAATTATAAAAATTTGTTTTATATTCATTTATAAAAATTGTCTTCAAAAATTTGAAGAAAAATTTCCCAAAGAAAATTTTCATGAAAAGGTATTTTACTAAAATATTATTACTTTTTCTATAGTATTTTTTTTAAAATACCTTTCTGTAGAAGTTTTTTTGTTATATATTTTTGCTAATATATTTATAAATAGTTTAGGAAATTTACAAACATTAAAAAAACTTTAAATTCGTATCCAAAACTACTAAAATTTTACATTTTCGTCTATTTTCAATAAGCGACGAATTGAAAAATCACTACAGCTTAATTAAAAAAAATTCTTTAGGACACAAAATTTAATTTTAACTTTTTGAGGAATATCCCCTAGCACAGCTCGCTGAAACAAAAAATTTTTAATTACAAATACTATAAAAAGACAAAAATCGAAAATAGAGAAATTTTTTTTTAAAATTTTATATTTAGTCAAAAAGAAAAAAATGTTAATTAATTAATTAGACAAATTGAATGTTAATTAAATTAAAAAATCAATTGTTGAGCTATTAATTGTATAACCACTAAAGCAATTATTAGTTGATTAATCAAATTTACAAGTAAATTTGTTTATTAAATTAAATAATAATAATTATTAACAAAATTAATAAAAAATTATTAGTTTAGTAATTAAATTAATAAATCAATTGCTAATTCAACAACTACTGAATGAATTCATTATCAATTCAAAAATTAAATTAAAAAATAAATTGTTAATGAAGCAACTAAATAAAAAAATTGTTAATTTAATTAACTAATATTAATTAATAATATTTATTATAAATAAACTGTTTTTAATTAATTTAATCATTAAATCAATTGTTAGATCAATTGTTCGTTAGATAATAAAATTAAAAAATCAATTATTAATTAAAAAATTAAATTAACAAATTAATTAGTTAAGATCGTAAAAATTTTTTAGACAAATGGAAATGGAAAACTTTTTTTAAAAAATGTGCAAAAGTACCTATAAATTCTTCTTCATATGCATGAAAATATTCATAGAGTGCTTCGCCAAGTGGTTCCTTTGGCAAATTAAATTCACCACCATATTCTGTTGGAATTGCTTTAGCTTCTAATTGCTCCAACAATGAATCTCTATTTGTTCCATGAAAATGTATCCTTTTTCGCAATTTTTCCTAGACAAAAAGAAAAGAAACAATTTTTATTTACTACTAACATAAAAATAAATGAATAAAAAAAATATTAATCATATAATAACATTAATTATTTATTTATACTTTGGTAAGGATCGAACCCCAGTCATTTAATTAGGAAACAAGCGACTAAACCACTAAGCCAATTATAAAAAAAATGTTTCTTAATTATTTATTTTATTTCATATATTGTAATAATATTTTATTTATTTATATATGGTAAATATTAAGTATTTATATTTTTATTTTCTATAATATTTTTTTTTATTTTTTAAAATATTATATTGAAAATTTCTTGTAAAATTCTCGTTTGTAAAAAATTAGAATTTTAGTTTCCTTCTTGAGATTGTTTGTAAATATTTTAAAAGGCTTAAGTAAAATCTATGAATATTGTTATGCGAGAGAAGAAATTTTGCATACGTGGATGAAAGGTTTGAAGATAGCGAAAACCATGTTGAATATGTATGGTTGATTGACAATATGAACACCTTTGAGCCGACAGGGTAAACACCTTTGGACCCACTCCAAAACTGCATTTGCAAAACTTGGTGTAAAGTGTGTCACGTGACCTAAACTAAGACCATCCATATCCAAAATTACATGAACGCCTGAAACCTAAAATTTATTCATTTATAAAGGGAAAATTTTAGTTTTGCAAATTATTCAAATTTTAAATACACAATAAATAGTATAAACTATTTATTAATAAATAAATTGTTAATTAATGTTTATTCACTATCCCTGCATTCGAATAAGTTGTTAATTAATTAACTAAACTAATGGATCAATTATTTCTGTCAATTAATTAAATTAAAAAATCAATCGTACATTAATTAACAAATTATGTCAACAAATAAATAAACAAAAACATGAAATATATACGTTTTTTAATAAATTATATTTTTTAATAAATATCTAAAATTAATAAATTTTTTTAAATTGATAATAAATTATATATATATATATATATATATATATATATATATATAAATTTGATTTTTAATAAATTAATATTACATAAAATATGTACAAACTTTATTTTAAAATTTCGAAAAGTTAAAAAATATTTTAAAAACAATTATTAATAATAATAATAATTACCTGTGTAATTGGTTCTGACATGGCAGCTTCTAAGCATAGCATTACACCTCTGAATATTTGATCCAACGAGACTTGTTTAGGCTTCCATTTTTTACCACTTTGAATTATTAAAATTCTACATCCATCTGAGCGTTCCGGAAGGAACGTTAAAATACCGGATATCAAGACGGCTCTTTCATTTTTTGGCACCAATCCTTTACAAAATCGTGGATTATTGAAATGAAATTGATAAAATCTTTTCATCTGTCAAGAAAAAAAGACTATTATTTAATATTTTAGTTTTTGTTTAAAATATTTAAAAACGAGATTATTAATTTGAATTATTTACCAAATCAAAAGCACTTTTTGCGTCCCACTTAATGGGTCTCAGGAATTTATATAAAAATTCATCTTCATCTGGTATCACCAAGTCAGGTTCCTCTAGAACGAAAAATTATCTTTCATTAAATTATAATAAATTATTTTGAAAAAGATATGAAATAAAAATTAACTCAAGAAAAATTCAATAGAAAAACATTAAATAAAGAATTATTTATATTTATAACAAATAAATATACTTATTAAAAAAATAATAAACTTAAAAAAAAATGCTTTATTAAGTATTTAATTTTTTTACTGTTTTTTTATTTATTGGTATTAAGTATTTATTAGTAAGCTGGAAAATAATTAATAAAAATAAAGTTAGTTAACTGAAAAATACCTAATAAAATAGATCATAAACTTCAGAAAATATTAAATACTTAAAAAATCATTTCATAAATAAATATTTAGTAATGAATTTTAATAATTTTCAATCATGAATAAAGCAATTAATTTAAAGTTATAAAAATTATTTATATATTAATTTATCAATTAAGTATTGTTATTAAGTAAAATTTTTCACTAAAAGAAATAATTATCAATTCAAAACTGTTTTGCGCAGTTATTATAATAATCTACATTCACCAATATTCATTATCTCTTAAAGTGTCATCAAAAATTAAGTACACGTGACTAGAATTATTTATATTTAATATACAAAATTACATGATTTACATAATAATTTTTTTTTTAATCGATAATTTTTTATTCATTTGCAGCAGAGTGCATTATTGATCTCATGTTTAACTCATTTCTATAATACGATCAGAATTTTAAATTCTCCTAAACAATTTTGTTAATTATTAATTATTATTCATTATCAATTATTATTCTTATTTTTAACTGCTTTTTAGATTTAAAATTCATGACATTTTTTATAATTTAATCATTTTAATCTATCACTTGATCATACTTTTAATTAATAATTATAAATTATTAATTATTAATGAAATTAATTAATTAATCAAGCAATTGATTAATTCACTTATTTATTATTATTTTTTTTATTTAATTGCATATTTACTTATCAAACAAAAAGGGAATTTTAATTAATGCTGTATTTATACATTATTGTCAATAGTAAATTAGTAAGGAATAATAAAAATGAAAAAAATGATAAAACTAATGAAAATAGAAAAAAATGAAGTAATTAATAAGAAATTAACAAAAAGTAAATAAAAAGAAAATAATTTGGTGTTGAATTTTCGATATGAGTGAACGAATTTAAAACACTCAGGGGATTATCCAACAAATATTCAGTCGTAGATTTTTTATTGCCTGATTGTTAAGTAACACGTAGAATTTATTGCTCTTACATTGTAAAGTGATATTGCATAACTAATATCGTGAGATGTAAAATAGAAGTAGACGAAAATATTTCCCCTATTATTATGCAAAAAAAATAGCTTTAGATTTGCGTAAAAAATGCAAACTTTATTTTTTTTTCTTTTAATTTATTAAAATTGTTTAAAATTAATAAATTTAACATTTAGATTCTTAATAGAATTTAAATGACTGAATATTTTTGAATTAATTAATCTAAAAGAATGAAAAAATTAATTAACAAATTTTTTTACCGTTTGATATTATTGTTATTATTATTTTTATCAATACTATTATTATTTATTATTAGTTGTTTTCTGTAAAAACCCTTTTTCTGTAATTTAGGCCTTTTTGTTAGTAATTATTTAATATTTATTTATTATTATTATTTATTTACTTGTGGTTATTAATTAATTTTTTATTGCCATTACATTTCATTATTATAATTAAGAAACAATAAGAATTTTCTATACTTTTAAAATAATTTTTGCAAAAGAATTGATATTAAATAAATGAAGTGAATAAAAATAAATCTCTCAATGTCAACAAGAACGTTTTTTTCCATTCTGAAATCCATTCACAAACGTAGGAAATCATTTTTATAGTTTCGTAATCGCCGAATTCACCTAAAAAACCATTTCCAATTCTTTCGAGTGTACTCAATGATGCAAAGTACTTTCCGAAAATGTACTTCTCAATTTCATGGAATTTCGTTGACCTCGTTCCATTTATATATTTTTACATAATCATCAACGAATTATTAGATAATCCAACAATTCATTTGCAATCAAATTAACGAAAAAAAAAATAAATATGGATTCATACAAATTTTCTCAAAATTTATTAATTTAGTTAAAAACAAAATAAACAAAAAAGAAAGAAAATAAATAAATAAACAAACAAAGGCAAAGATGCAAATAGCAAATTCAATTTATAATTCAATTTACTTACAAAATTAAATTTATAATGTAATTTAAACAATTAAATTCATAATACAATGTAAACAATTCGATTTATAATAGAATTAAAACAGTTAAATTCTTAAATTTAAATAAATAAAATCATAAAAAATTGAGACAATTAAAATTTATTGAAAAAATTGAAACAATAAATTGAAATAGATAATAAATATTTTAATTTATAAAAAAAATTGAAACAAGTGAAAAAAATTCAAACAATTAAATTTATAGAAACCAGTGAAATAATTAAATTCATAGAAAAAAATTATAACAATCAAATTAAAATTAAATTTTAATATTTAAACTCATAAAAAAATTGAAACAATTAAAATCATTAAATATTTTAAACAATTGTATTTAGCTATAGAAAGAATTTAAACAATTGAATTTATAGAAAAAATTGAAAGAATGAAATTTATGAAAGAAATTGAACAATTAAATTTATGAAAGAAATTGAACAATTAAATTTATAGAAAAAATTTTTTTTCAAAAAATTAAAAGAATTAATGGAAAATAAAGAAACAAGAATTTTTAGAGTTTAATTATTTAAAAAATTGATAAAAATTTTGCAGTAACAAAATTCAATTCAGTGAAAGAAAAATGTAATTAATACAATATTTAATTGCCGTTAATGAAAGTTAATGATTAATTCATGAATTTATTTACGTCTGCAATTAAAATTTAATTGGTATTAATTAAAACATTGGAAGTAGCGGGAAAAAAATATTTTTATCTTTTTCGCCAATGCACGATTTCGGTTTCTTAATAATGTATTATAAAACAAATAAATAAGATAAGAAAAATTTTATACGAATTTCTTTCTACTCTCAATTTCACTCTTATTTTCTCCAGTTAAATTCAACGCGTGACCGGATTTACGCGTTTTGCTTTTAGTTTCTTACAACACATGCTTGCATTCAATGCAAAGAGAGAGAGAAAAATAGAAAGAAAAAAGCAAAAAAAATAAAAAGGAAAAGAAAAAGAGTAAAAAAATAGGAGGGAAAAAAAAGCATTTCACAAGGAAAAAAAAGTAATTCTCCTATTATATAAATACGTAAGATTTAAATAAGACTCATTTAGGTAAATCGTGTTCGTCGAGAGGAAATGAAAAATTCTCAACTTTCGTTCAAAAATCACATATATACAAATATTCTACGTATGTGTAATACTAAAGTCGAGGAGGAAAATGACGTCAAGGCTATATGAATGACCGCGTAAAATGTTAAGACTCGTTGCTATAAAACTGGTTTTTAGCCATTCAAGTTTTCACCCATTTTTTTTTTTCGTCCATTGTCCAATTAAACTGATGAAATAACTAATAAAATGAAAAGTAGAACGTCTGTTAGTTGTTTCGCAAAAATAGAAAATATGAAGCAAAAAAAAAAAAGAGAAGAGAACGAGTTTATTGACTTCTTTTCAAGTTTCCGTGAATCTCACTCTCTCATTGAATTTCAAATTTAATGAATCGAGTAAATAATTGTTTTGCCTAAAAATAATAATAACTCAATTGCGCCAATCTTATGCAACAGCAAAAATTCATCGAAATTTATCGAATTAACTGATTTCAGTCTTTGTGTTTTGATTATTAAATTATTATTTTTATTATTTTATTATTATTATTATTATTATTATTATTATTATTATTATTATTATTATTATTATTATTATTATTATTATTATTATTATTATTATTATTATTATTATTATTATTATTATTATTATTATTATTATTATTATTATTATTATTATTATTATTATTATTATTATTATTATTATTATTATTATTATTATTAATTATAAGTTACATATAAATTAATAAAAAATATAATTAATATTTATGTTATTTATTTATTGTAATTTGTAAATTGTTCGAGCCTTTTGACTATGAACGAGCTTCCGGCATTAAATAAAATTAATATAATTAATTTATTTACAATAATAATTATAATATTTATATTCATATTAAATATTAATATTAATTAAATAATTAATTATAATAAAGGTATTGGCTTTCAAATTTAATTAATCATGTAAATAATTGTTTTCTTCTTTTTCAATAAATAATCTTTTTATTAAAAAACACAAAGATAGAAATTAATTAAGTATATCTATTATTAATTAACCATTAGAAAAATGATAATAATGATAATAGGACTAAAAATCATTTCCAAATAAATAAAAAAATTATTTTAATTGTTAAATACTTTCATTACAAGAGTAAATGATTATTTAGCTCTTTTTCAATAAATAATTTTTTTATTAAAAAATACAAAAATAGAAATTAATTAATTAACCATAATAATAGTAATAATAAATAATTTTACTATTTGAATAAAAAAATTGTTGTCAACTGTTAATTACTTTCATTACTTTTTACTTATATTTTTCCTTGGCATTTAAAAATTTTTTCTTTTGTTTTTTTTCATATCATAGTTATAAAGTAAAAGGGTAATTAAATAATAAAATTTGTTTAATGTTATTCAAATAATATATTTAAAAAAAATTAAAGTCCTCGCGTGAGAAATAATGTCCGCTTCTCTCATTTTATAAATTGAACGAAAAGAATTACACTTGTGTTAAGTTTCTTGTGTGGGTTGAAAGTTATTTACCTTGATTTTTGAACTTTCAAAAAAGAAATGATTTCATGGCAAAATATTTTCTTATATAGGAAATTAATTCCACATAAATCGTTTTATTAGTGTTTTTTTTTCTTTTTTTTTCGAAATATTATTTGCGAGGTTAATATTGAAGACTTGTTTTTTTTGCATCATTTATATACACGTCACTTAATTATTGTATCGTGAATTTTTTTTTTAGTAGGAGTTTATTTCGTGAACTTGCATTAAATGTAATTATACAATTTTACCTTGTAGCTTTTTACTCTAATTATAAGTCTAGTTTTTAATATTAGATATAGGAAATAAAATTCTCATTTCCGAGCAGAGTGAATCCTTAATGTATTATAAATAAATATTTATTCGCAAGCTAGTAATAAAAAAAAAATTTGATTTCAAGCAATTGATCGATTATGGATGATTAGAAAAAAAGTGGAATGAATAATAAATAAAGTATATGCAAGCAGCAATTTTTTCAAGGCTACTTTTTAATGTATATTACGTTGTCTAAAGGTACTTTGAAAAGAATTGCTTTTTTTAGGTGTTTAATTTTCGAATTAATTTTTGGAAGAGTAATAATTAATAATAATTAATAATGAATTATTAATAATTACCTAATTATTAAGTCATAGAAATCACTTATTCAAAACGAAAATTAAAACAAAGGAGAAAGAAGAAAAATAGGAAATAAAAAACAGAAAATGAAAAAATAGAAAATAACGAAACTGAGAAAATAAAAAATAGGAGAAATGGAAAAAATAGAAAATTAATAAGTAGGAAATAAAAAAGTGAGGAAATAAGAAAATCGAAAACAGAAAATACAGGAAACGTCAAAACAGAAAATTTAATGAGTTTCTAAAAATAGAAAATTAAAAATTAGAAAATAAAAAATATAAAAAATAAGGTAAAAACAGGATAAATATGAAATAACAGAATAAAAAAGGGAATAGGAAATAGAAAAATTGGGAACAAGAAAACAAAATAAAAAATAGAAAAATATAGAAAAAATAGGAAATAATATTATATAATATAAATTATTATTTTATAATAAATAATAATAGGACATGAAAGAACAGGAAACAAGAAAGTAGAAAGTAAAACAAATGTGAAATAAAAGTAGAAAAAAATTATGAAAATTATGAAAAATATGAAATAAAAGAATGAAATCTGAATTAAATAAAATAATATGAAATAGAAAAATGCGGGAAATGTAAAAACAGGAAATAGAAAAAAAGAAAAGAAACTAGTATAACTAGAAAATAGGGGGGAAATAAAAAAGAAAAATGTAGAAATAAACAAATTATAGAAGAGTAGGGAATAAAAGAATAGGAAATAAAAAATAGTAAACAAAAAATGAAAATAAAAAATAGGAAATAAAAATAGAAAATAAAGGAAAGAGGAAAACAATAAAAAAAATAAAAAATGGGAAATGAAAAAAAATGTTTCTAAATTAGATAAAATTATTACCTCTGAGAAGTTTTCTGAGTTCCTCCAAACCACGTTTCACAGTTTCGGGAGTTTCGTTTAATTCAATTCGCGCCTTTTCAGCATAAAATTCATTAAATTCTTCAGGTTCAATTTTAATCAAATGTTTTCCTACTTTAATCGGCGGGGTTTTTCTTGCCGTCTCAATTAACGATTCTTGAGTTCCAGGTTTAAATATCTTTGCCGTTGTCATGGTGAAAGAGAAGTAGAAGTCTAAAAATTAAAATTTTCCTATAAATTGAAATTTCTAATAAATAATATTAAAATTTAGGAAAAAAAAAAACAAATTCTTAAAATTCTTTTCTATTTTACTTAAAATTTACATATTTTACTTATAATTTTTACCTTTTTTTGAAGTTCAAGATTGTGAAATTGTGTTAGTGAATTTTTATAAAGAAAAATATTTAATTTTCATTTTTATATTCTCTTTTTTTGTGTGTATTTATTTTTGAACTTATTTTCTTTATTAGATATGTATCTGTATTATTATAGAATACTTAAATCGAATTTAAATTTAAACTATTGAACTCGAATTTATATTCTGAATTTGAAATTATTTTTCTGACTCAAACTTCAACGTTGAATGACTCGTAAATTTTTCGTTCTTATAATAAACTTTTTGTTTTTTGTTAGATGTAGAAAAAAAATTTTTTTTTATTATATTTTATTAAAAAGTTTCAAATTAAAATAGTTTGGAAAATTTAATTTTAAAACCACAACAAAGTTGATGTTTGCGTTCCTTTATTTTCGTTCTTTTTTAATTCTTTTAATATTAATTCAAATTTTATACTTTCTTTATAATAATTATGCATTTAATAATTTCTTCTCTCTACCATTTTTTAATTTTCTATTATTTTTTATTTTAATATTTTTATTCTTTATAGCTTTCTTTATTTTATTCTTTTTTAATGTTTTATTTTATTCTTTATTTTTAGTTTTCAATTTTTATTTTGCTTTTCTACTTTATGTTTTAATATTCTTTTAATTTTGAAAATGAAAAACTAAGTGAATCAATTAATTTTTTTTAAATCAATTTAAAAGTAAAAAATTGTTTTATAATTTGTGTTTTTGTTATCAACATTGAGACTCAGCAGGATGACTAAAAAGCGATAAGGGAAATCTACGATCAGTCTGCAATAATTTATCTGACAGATGATTTTGAAATATAATTTAATACAAAGACATAATTAATTTATTTCTGTCCGATAATTAATTAATTAATAATTAATAAATTATCGAGTAAATTCCAAAAAGAAAATTATTAAAACATTATTTTTAAAAACCGGAATAGAAAATTTATTAAAATTGTTATTCTGCCAAAAAATGTATCGAAACGAATTGAAAAAAAATTTTCTCTAAAAGAATTAAATTATTATAATTTAGTAAATAAATTAATAATTGTAAATACGAAATTTGTATTTTTAATTTTTAGTAATAATTAATTAATTTTCCCTTTTATTTTTAAATCAATTGTTAATTATTTCAATTTGCCACAAAGGTATTAAATTAAATTGTTAATTACCAAATAAGAAATTATTAACTTTCCCTTTAGAAGGTAAAATTCAATTTACTAAAAAGGTATTTAATTAAATAATTAATTACCTAAATGAGAAATTATTAATTTTCCCTTTGAATTAAATTAACGAATTGTAAACTAAATAACAAAATCTCTTTAATTAACTGTAAGAAAAAAATTACAGTAAAAAAATCAAAAAATAATTACTAATTATTCTAAATTACAAATTTTAATCCTTTAATAGAATTCAATTGCAGGGGAAAATTGTGATAAAATGTGAAAGGTCAACGTACCCTCCTTTCTAGAGTTGTTGATGGATGCTACAGTACTTCAGTGTTGTGTTTTTGCCTCTTTCAATTCAACTCTATATGGATGCTGTGAATTGCGAAAAAAATCCACATACACGCAACTTGAATGTTTAAAATGAAAATTTATTCCACTTTCCCAAATAAATCTCCAATGATCATTTTCCAACGAGAGAATATATTATTTCAAAAAAGAACTTTTGTTTACAGTACTATGAATTTACAGAATACCATCACAATTCAAAATTTGCAAAAAAAAAAACAATTTTCAAACAAAAACAAATTTTTCAAAAAAAAAAAATTACAAAAAAATATCACAGTTTTAAAAAAAAAATTCACAATAGAAAAAAAACCTCCACTTTTTAATGTTTCGCATAAAGAAAGGACTTGTTGTGCTAGTGGTCAAGGAATGACCAGAGAGTTGGACTTCCCAGAGAAGACTGTCTTCTAGTTAAGTTGGAAGAATAGTACGAGTAAAAAGTATATTGCGCCTTCCCCACTTATTCTGCATGAAAGACCATGGAACATAATCTCAGATTTGACCCGATGACGAATTTTTAAGCAAAACTCTCCTGTCATAGGTCACATTTTATTTAAATTTAAAATTTATTATTTTTTTCCCCAATGTTAATATAGAGAAAAATATTGTCGAAAAAATGGAATTGTAAATTTTGCTATTCATCATTTTTTCCTTTGTTCGTATTTTTATAAAAATGTTTATCAACTTTTTTTCTTCGCAAATTCTATAAAATGAAGTTTTTATACAATTTTTATACAAAATTATAAAAAGAAAATATATAATTAAAATATATTAAAAAATAAATTTATATACCTATATTTTTTTATTAGTTTTTTAAATACAAAATTATTATTTATTTCAAACACAGCCTTAAATTGCAAGGATTATTAATAAATTATTATTAAAAATAATTTAATAATAAATTAAACTATTGTAATTTTATATAATAATATGTGTCCTAGAAAGGTACCTAAGAATGAAAAAAATGTTAGGTTATGTTTAAAATTTTTTAAGGAATATTACAGAAAAAGAATCGATTACTATTACAAATTATTGATGTTCAATTTTTCATTACATCGAAAATATTCATTAAAAGCTGATTTTAAATTTACATAATTAAAAAGGAACTTATAATCAAGAAAAGTCTAAGACAAATATAACCTATAATTTGTTTGCTTCTAACCTTTCTTCAGACCGCGACAAATATTATATTTATTTTCCTATAATATAAAAAAATATTATTAATTATTAATAAATAATATAAAAAGATTTACAAAATAAAAAAGAATAAAATAGTAATCAATTCATAAGATGAAAAAAATAGTAAATAAATAATAAAATGGTTTTTTTTTGGAATTACAATGAAAACAATAACAAAGTACGTGAAAATAAATTTTATTTTTCAATTACTATAATTTTTTTTCATACGCAAATAGGTAATTAGAAAAAAATAACATTAAAAATTCTAATAAACAAACAATAATAAGAAATAATGTTTAATTGCGATAATTTAACAAATTACAACAAACGAGCGTCGGGCAATATTCACTTCTTACGAAATCCGAAAGTGTTCCATTCTGTAAACAAAAATATAATCAAATTTACACATTTCTTGTTCTTTTCTCTCTTTCTCAAAAAAAAAAAAATTTTTTTTAAATTATTAAAAGAATTTATGTTGTGAAATTTTATTGTCCATTGGCTATTCTACGTCTAAAGTGCAAGTTACAGATATTTCTTCAGAATTTTACGACCGGTGGTATGATGAAATAAATTATTTATGTACTAACAAATTTTTTTTTCTTTTTTGCACCAAAAAAAACTCGAATTCTTTTTTAAGTGAAATCTAGCAAAGATTTTATCTCTATTTTATTTTGGTTTCTTCTTAGGGTTTGTTATTTAATTATAACTCTTTAACTATAAGAATTAACTATGAGAATTCGTCATAAAAAATTTAACTGTTAAAAACTGAAAAAATAAAATTTTAATTGAATTTAAGTTTAATATTTAAAATAAAAAATTTAATTATAAAAATGTAATATAAAAATGAATTTCAGAATCTTTTATAAGTAAAAATTATTTAAACTAAATTTAAGAAATACGTATCGTGAAATTTTGTTTATTTTTTTTTACAGTTTTATTAAAACTTCGTCTTATTAGTGACTTTTCTCTCTAATTGGAAATAAAATTAATTGAAAGAAAATGTCGAAATTGTAATTTTTCGAATGTTAGGTATAAATTTTGTATAGTTAATTGAAAAAATTAAAAGAATATGTAATTAAATTTGGAAAAAAGTTTGCAAATGGAAAAAAAAACTTTACCTTTGCATCTGTCTTCGTATTTGACGATAGCGGGATACCAATCGGCACCAGTGTAATCAATGTCTGGTAATTCGCCACCATAATTCTTTGGTAAATGACTAGCGGCCATGTGAGTATGAAGGGAGGACATTTTTGTTCCATGGAAGAACATTCTCTTCTTCAATTTTTCCTTAACGAATGGCTTGAACATTTGCCAAACCATGTTGAAGAGGAATGGTTGTTTAACGAAATGAACCTGTAAAAATTCAGTTTTTTAATTTTTATATTCTTTTTTTTTGTCATGAAATGTTTTTCTCATGGTAATAATTAGAATATTTTTCTTTTGAATTTTGAAGTATTTTATTCAAATAGAATAATCGATTCTTTATAAAAATAGAAAATTTTAATTTTAATTTGGAAGATTCGATTTGAATAAAAATTAATTTTCTTATTTAATTTTTCCTAATTTACGAAGATAAACGAATATAAATTAAAATATTTTTAATTTGAATTTGGAAAATTGAAATTAAGTATTTTCCATTTGAATTTGAAAGAATTTTATTCAAGTAGAATATTCAATTCTTTATAAGAATAGAATATTTTAATTTTAATTTGGAAGATTCGATTTGAAATAAAATTAATTTTTTATTTAATTTTTCTTAATTTACGAAGATAAACGAATATAAATTAAAATATTTTTAATTTTAATTTGGAAAATTAAAATTGAAACAAACTATTTTCCATTTTAATTTTGAAAATTTGAATTAAATTAGAATATTTTTCATTTGAATTTATAAGATTTGCTTTGAATTAAAAAATTGTTGATGTGAAATTTAATTTTTTATTGCAATTTAAATTTTTAATTTTTAGTATTCGAATTTGATTATTTCATTTAAATTTTCGATTTAAATTTGACTTCGATTTTTAATTTTGATTTTTTGCTAAATAACAATTTGAATATTTAATTCAAAATTGAATATTTTATTTTATTTTTAATTTAATTTTCTATTTAATTTTAAATTAACATTTTTACATTAATTCTGCTTTATTAAACTAGAATTTGAATATTTAAGTTAGATTTATATTCAAATTCAAATTTAAATTGGATTTTAACTTTTTTTTAACTGATATTTGAATATTGATTTTAACTTGATCGTGACTTGTTTTTTTATTTGAATTTTGATTTATTAAAATTTAAATTTGAACACTTTAGTTAGATTTGTATTCAAATTCAAATTTGAATTAAACTTTGACTCATTTTAAACTGAAATTTGATTATTGATTTTATTTTGATTTTAAATTTGTTTGCATATAATACTGATTTAAATGTAATTGTAAATTCAAATAAACGATTTAAATTTGAATTTTTTAAAATTTGAATAATTCAGTTCAATATAAATTTAAATTCAAATTAAATTGACTTTTGATTTTTTCAACTAAAATTTGAATACTCATTTTAGTTTGATTGTAACATTGTAAGTTTAAATAATCAATTTGAATTTTTATTTGAATTTGAATATTTAGGTAAGATTTGTATTTAAATTAAAATTCGAATTGAATTGACTTTTGATTTTTATAAATAGGAATTTTAATATTGATTTTTAATTTGATTGTAAATTTAAATAATTGATTTGAATTTTGATTTATCAACATTTGACTTTGAATAATTAAGTTAGATTTGCTTTTAAATTCAAATTCAAAATGACTTGACTTTTGATATTTTAATATTGGAATTTCAATATTGACTTGTTAAGTTTGACTGTAAATTTAAACAATTGATTTGAATTTTGATTTATCAAAATTTTAATTTGAGTGTGAATGTTAATATTTTAATTTTGATAATTTCGAAATTTGCATATTTGACTTGAATTTAATTTTTGATTATTGAAAATTCAAATTTGAATACTTTATTTTCATTTATAGATTTAAATTTCATTTGAATTTCAATTTTATGATTCGAATTTAAATTTATTTTTTCTTTGAAGTTTAATTGTCCAACTTTGAATTTAAATATTGCCTAGAACACAAATTCTTTAATACAAATATTTCTTTAATAAAAAATAAATAAACTAATAAGAATATTAAATAAACTAATGAGAATTTTAATACTTTAATAATTTAATGTTTAGAATATTTATTTATTTAGGTATACTTATTTAATTATTTATAAAAGTACTAGGGCTTTTAGCCTGAACAGTATGTTAAGATATTTAATTATTTGAAATTTGCTACTTTGTGCATCTACATTGCATAAATAAGTAAATAAATTTAAATTTGAATTCATATTTTCAATTCAATTCAATATTCAAGAATCATACTTTTAATTAATTCTCCCATCTCAATAAATTTTTACTTCTCATTTAATGATACCTTTTTCAATTTTCTCTTTTCATTCAAATTGTCTTTGTAATACCCTTTGACAAATTTAACTTCTTCTCTCTCACTAAATTTTTGTTTACGAGAAAAAAATTTAAATTGGAAAAATATTTACGATATTCACACTGCAATTACCTCTTTTAGTCGAAGAGGCATAGCGTCTTGAATGAAGGTCAAAAGTCGCATGCAGAAAGCAGGTGTCAAGCCCATAACTTGTTTCATGGAAAGTCCATCGAAGTCCATAATCACGACTACTCCATGGACCTAGAAAATAATAATCAAATAATAATTAAATAATAATTGATAAATATAAATAATAAATACACATACGCTTAAAAAATAAAAGTTTTCTGCAAATTTACAAAAAAAAATATTTTTATTTAAAAACAATTTGTTTTTATTAATAAAAATATACCAAAAATTGACTAAAAATTTAGTAAAAATTTTATAAAAAATAAACAGAAAACAAAAATTAGTAATGTTGAAGAAAAAATGTAGTACACTTTTAGTGACGTTTACTTTCAAGTCAATGTGTTTTATAATTAAAAGTTTAATTTATCCACAACGTGAGCGAAATTTTCATTGGACAAAGAAAATTTAATTTACGTCAAAGGTAGGGGTTTTGCGAGACCCTAAAATAAATTCAATTAACTGGGTATACCAGGGTAAAGTTTTGAAAAGTTTCAAAGTTCAAAGTTATATTCTTGATCAAAATTAGATTACCATAAGAAGCGACCGAGTATTTATATATATTTTATTGATGATAATGTAATCATTTAATTTTCTCTTTTATTATCAGAAAATTAAAGTACAATTGAAAGAATATAACAGATGTATAATTGTAATTTTAATCAAAAAAAGATGTCAATCTTCTTATATGAAATTTATAGGGAAATTTTTTTAATTGAAATTTGTTTTCTGTAGATTTCTTTTTGATATAGAAAATATATTTCAATAATAAAAAAAAATGAATTTTTTTAAAACTGAGTCTTATATAATCCATACTACATTTTATTTTTTTGTTAAATAACAGACAGTTTGAAAATTACGTAACGAATAAAAATTGCTCAGAGTGGTCTCAATTTATGCGGAAAAATGACAAGATATGAAAAAAAAATTTTTAGTCCAATTATTTTTAGTGAACAATTTTTATTCGTCTGAACCGATTTTTTCTACCATGTAATAATTTTTGATGGTGAAAAAAAAATTTGATTCAAATATCAGATTCGTTGTCTATTATCAATTAAATATTTAGTTAAATCAAATAATTTTTATTTAATTTAAAAAAAATTGTATTTGAATCAATAATTTGGTTCAGTGATTCAATAAATTTTCATATAAATTTTTACAGTGTATAAATTTTAAAGTTTGATAAATTTTTGGAATTCATAATAAAAATTGAATTTGATTTTCACATTTGTAATAGTATTGAATATATATTTTTTTTTGTATATTTACCTGTGTTTCAGGTTCGAGAACGGCAGCTTCATGAATAAGGTAAAAGATACGGAACATTTGATCGGCATTGACCTTAGATGGATCCCATGATTTTCCTGCATTCACAATGAGTACCCTTCTTCTTTTATGGTCTCTGTTCTTCATGACATTAACGACATTATTTTCGAGAAACGCTTGCCTCTCATCGGCTGGCATTAAATTATTTAATAACGATGCATTACTTTGTTTAAATTCAGCGCAACGTTTCATTAATGCGTACGCACTGTCTGGATAGTATTTACAAGGCCTCAAAAAAATTATCAAAAAACTATCGTCTGTTCTGAAGAAAAGGGACGTGTCGTCTGAAAAATAAAATAATCAATAAGAAAACATTTTTTTTTTCAAAAATATATTTAATATTTAATATATAATAATTAATGATAATGAATAAATTAATAAATAATAATTTAATTAATATTAAAAAATATTTAATATTTAATACTAGGAAATATTTAATATTTAACATTAAAATATATTTAAATTATTTTTCAAATAAAAATAGGTAAAATTACCAAAAAAGATGCAAATGAGGAGAGTTCATAGTTGTTATGCTGTTTGTAATATTGATATCAATTTTTCAATTTGTCTAGACAAACTTTTTTTTTCTACTTAATAATAAATATTGACGAGATAAAAAATTCTGATAAGGCCAATTTATAAATATTTATTGCAAATTGACTAGAAAAGCTACAATTTAAAAACTATTTTTATTGTTAAATTACTAAAAATAAAAATATCATTTTGAAAAATTGCATTTTTTTCTTTAAAAAAAGTAATCTTGCCAAGACAAATAATAAGAAAGAAAGAAAGAAACCACAATATTCATTATTACGAAGTTTTATTTTGAAATATTAAAAATTTTAAATAAAAAAAATAGAAATAGAAATATTAAAAAACATAAATAAACATTTTAAAAAAAAATAATAAAAATTTTAAAAATTAAAGAAAAATGTATTTAGAAAATTCGAAATTAAGAAGAAACGTCTAGTATTTAATGACGTGTTTTGTGTCATCCTCCACATATGCAACCGGCAATACTCCCAAGTATAATCATTATTTCGAGAGATTTAACGTACTGACAAAATTGAGAAAAAATTAATTAAACATTATAATCTTCCATGGTTATTACGCATAAAAATTTTAAGAGAATTCAAATTTATGATCAGTTTAATTTATCAAAGAATATTTATGACTTTTTTCATAATCAAAACATTAAATAATTGAAAAAAGATTTCGTTTTCATTAATCAGATTTATTAAAAATATAGCTTTTCATGTCCTACTTCAACTTTTTTTCTATTTGACACTTCAAAATAACAATCTTAAATTAGTATTTACTTCGTAATAAAATTCCTTGCGAAAATTTTAATATTTGCTACAAAGAAGATAATAAAAATTACTGATTGTGAGAACATAACTTTGAACGGTTCTAAATTTAAAATAGAAAAATTTATATTTTTCATTTCATATTCTTCAAATATAATAAATTTATTAAATTTATTTTTAATTTTTCTAATAAGCAGTAAGATTTTGTTTTGATAAAAAAATATCCAAGACTGATTTTTGTACCTAGAAACTAATTTTTTTTTTTAAGGAATTTTATAGACGTTTCTTTCTAAATAGAATTCAGTCTATTCGAAATGATTACAAACATGAATATCGAAAAGTTCAAATTCTTAAACGATAACAGTTTGATATTATCGAATGTATCAATTGTTTGAATAATAAGCCACATATGATAATGAATCACTGTCTTTGATTTACATATTATATTTTCATGTATATTTACATATGTAGTATAAGCTGCGTTCATTGACTTATACTTAACTATTTATTTTCTCAAGGAAGAAAAACAAAAATTATATTTTTTTCAAATAAAAAATTTAGAATTTTATTTATTTTTTCTTTCTTTTTCTTTTTTATCCAAGTATGTAATTATATTGACGAAGAAAAGTGTCAGAAAACACAATTTAGTTTTTATAGAAAAATTAATTAGATGAGTGAAAATTTTTGATACAATTAATTTAATTACAAGAGCACAAATGCTAAATTCATCTCCTAAGATGATAGTACTATCATTATGGAAGAAATTATGGCCTCAATAATTGACCTTCGCTTATACATCTATCTATTTTACAAGCTTGCAAAATTTCATTTGCGATATATTATATTTTAAAATTCCACTTTTATAAAGTTTTTGTAAATAATTTTTGTTTACTTATTTATTATTTTTATTCTATTCATTTGCTATATCGTTGATTATATACTTATTTCTACTAGTATAAACTATTCTTGGAATTATAATTATTATTTATTTATAATAATCAAAGTTCCTAAAAAAAATTAGGTTAAAATAAAGCCCTTGGGGAATCATTATAAATATAATGATATTATTGTAGATATAATATTGTTTTTATAAATATTAAAAAAGGATTATAATGTTATTCGTTATTTTTTATTGTTTCTATTATTTACTTAATAGTATTAATTACTATTATTATTAATAATAATTATAATATTTTTTGTACGAAGGGCGCCTTCGTTTTTCTTTTGTGAATTGTTTAAATAAATAAATAATAAATTGTAGAACAAAATGTTATTATTATTATAATAATAAAATAACACAGGTTTATAAAATTCAGGTCAAGTTTTGGACCCAGAGAAGCAAAAAAAAAATTATAATAATAATATTAATAATAGTAATATTTATTCATTATTTAATGTTATAAATAAATTATAATATTATTATAAAAATCATTATTATTATTAAACTTAAATTTAATTATTATCAAAATTATTATTCTAAATCAAATGGTGGAAGAAAACTAGAAAAATGTATTCCTTTTTTCCTCACCGCGAATGCTTAAATTAAAACTAAAAATTGATAATTATTCGCGATGCAATTAGTCAAAAGAAAAACGATGACAAAGAATAATGCTTCAGGTCAAAATTTACATTACGTAAAGTTATTGATTTTTTTACAGGTCAAAGGGCCGATAATTTTAGATCTGTTTTGGCTGATGCATCTATAGTTATGCAAATATGAAACTATAGATGAAAATTGGTCTCCCTAATTTTGTGCATTACATCACTAATGCGATTTATTTCGATGCAAATAAAAAAAACATGTTTTCAAAAGTCTATGGAATTATAATTTGAAAAAAAACTGGTTCTACGTATGCGTATATTATTCTTTTCAAACATAATGTACATTCGAAAATTTTTCCAAATTTTGAAATTTATTTTTTATTTTAAATTTTTAATTAATTTAATTGAAGTTTAATGTTTATTAATTAATATTAACATTCAATTTTTACAATAATAGTAATATTATTAGGGTTTTTTTAGTTATATCTAAACTGTTTCCTTTCTTAGAAAAATTAACAAAAACTTCTTTTCTTTTTTGAAAAAAACCGTACCTGTACTGAAGTATTATGAAAGATTTCTGATAAGAAATTCTATCGAAATTTTCTTTCACTAGAGAGAAAGAGAGAGAGAGGAGAAAGAGAGAAAAATTTCTGATAAGGAAAAAGAAACTTTTCAGCACTTGCTTCGATATAGTATTATTCAATTTCTTATCCTATATAAAGACCTTTTATCGTAATAGAGGACCTTTGGCTGATGTTTTCAGACTTTTAATAATACGATAACTTTGTTACAAAAAAAAACTCCAAAAATTGTCACTGTGCAAATTGACAGGTTAATTAAAGACGATTAAGTGTCACCGAGTGATAAATTCGAAAATAATATTAATTAAAGAAGATAACTATTTTTAATTTTACTCTTTTTATTCTAAATAAAAATATAACACAAAATAAAAGCACAAAAAAATATTATTAAAAATTTTTTAAAAATACAATTAAATAAACAATTTATAATAAACAACAATTTTCTATAAACGTATAAAAATATTTATTACATAAATATATAAAAAAATATGACATAAATTAAAATGCAATTAACAATACTTCTTTTCTTATCGTCTTTAAATTTCAAAGAATAGAAATAGAAAAACAACGAAAGAAATGATAATTTTCTATTATATTTGTATTATTAGTTAGAAACGTGTTTAATGATTTTCAAAATTTGTTTTCTATCTAATCGTAATTAGTAAGATTTCACATAATATGAGGTGTGTCAATACAAGAAGAAGAAGAAAAAAAATAATCGTATAAAAATGACTGATAAGAATAAAAATATTATCAGTCTAAAAATATTGGTATTAGAAATTGATTCGAAACATTATTTTTTCACTCTAAAAAAACTTTATTCGAAACAGTACAATAAAAAGAAAGAAAAACACTTCACTTATGGATTGTAGAAAAAAATACCGAGTGTAAAAAATTTGAACTTCTGTTTGGTGATTATATATTAATTATTCTGAATCTTAATCATTGAAGATCAACGTTCCAACAAAATTGATTTGAATTAAAAAAAATAATAGAAAAATATAATTATTAATAAAAAAAATTGGAAAAAAATAATTGAATTATTTTATTAACATTTTATTAACTGAAAATTAACTAAAACTATTGTTTTATATTAGTTTATTATTAATAATTAATAATTTTATTTATTTATTTGAATTTAATTATATTAAAATAAAAATGAATTTCAATAAATCAATTAATGATGTATATTTAGTTTGATATTTAGTTGAATATTATTATAATTGAATGTAGGTTTTAAAATTAACGCACTATATTTGTTGAAATAACATTATTAATTATTAACTATTAATCATTTATAAATATTAAATATATAAATAATCATAGAAATATTTATCAAATATTTCTTAACAATAATAAATATTATTATAATTTAACAATTAAATAATGTTTTTAAATCCTTTGATAAATGAAAATTTATACGAAAGATGCGTCTAGAATAGATCAAATTTTTTTCAATTGAACAAAAATTCTTTCTTTAAACTTTTTAGTTTTGAGAATTAAAAATTCAGTTCGAATGGATCAATGGATTAATTTTCAACAAATTGAGAATAAAATTACATTGGATTAAAAATTTACTTTTAATGGAACAAATTTTAAAATTCAGTGCAACAAAGATTCGTTTGCAATGGACCAAAGTTGCATTTTCAGTGGTGCAAAAATTCATCTTCAATTACAAGAATTCTAATTAGAATCAGAATATTAAAAAATAAATAAATTCGTTCAGTGAATTCGTTAAGAGAATCAAAAAAAATATTATGTGAAAAAATAATTAAATTCAAAGATCCTCGTTCAGTAAATGAATAATAAGTCAATTAATAAGTAAATTATGAATAAATGAATTATGAATTATGAATGAATAAGTAAATTAATTTGATTATTAAAACGAAACAATTTTCAACACAAAAAGTGAAAAAATTAGAATTTAATAATTAAATAATTAAAAATGGTTCAAATCTAAAAGATTTTTTTCAATGACACACAGAATATTATTTTCGCAGTCGACCAAAAATTCATCTTCAATTACAAGAATTCTAATTAGAATCAAAATATTAGAAAATAAATAAATTCATTTAGTGAATTCGTTTTAAGTGAATCAAAAAATATCAAGTGAAAAAATAATTAAATTCAAAGATCCTCGTTCAGTAAATCAACAGTAAATTAATTTAATTATTAAGACGAAACAATTTTCAACACAAAAATAATTGAGAAAATTCCAATTTGTCAAAAATTTTCTTTTTTCTTTCTAATATATGAAAATGAGGTAAGAAAAAATTCTTCTTTTTCAAAATGTGTAACAAACACGAGGGGAAAAAATAAAAGAAAAATATTTGATGAAACAAACTCCGAGGTAATAAATTTTATTTTTCTTTCTCTTCTCAAAAAAAAATATGACAATAAAATATTTCACTGACCTTCCAAAAGTTTTCTAAGAGCAGTAATGCCATTTTTGACATTATCCTCAGTTTCCCTGAGTTCCTTGAGTGCTAACGCTTTTGAATCGGCATCAAGAACGACATTCTCCTCAATTTGGAACGCCATTCTCAATTTCTGATGATGCGAAATTGATGATGGTTCTTTTGATGATCTTCACGGGCGAACGCCAGCGATATATCTGTGACCAAGAACGTTGGAGGAGGCATCCTCTTGTCCACCATCTCTCGATACAATCTTTGACCGCCCAAAGTCCAATCGGCTTTTGATTTGAGACACATAAGTGTCTCACTGATGATGAGACTTGTTGTATATTCATACATCCATAAGGGAACCACGTCACCCGCAATATATATTTAATATACATATATATATTTGCAAGATAAAAACGTGTCTTGCATTTTCTTTTCGATTGATAACGAGAGCAACGTGCTCGTGAAGCTTTCATATATATATATTTATATATTTTATTATTTGTAAAGATTGTGTTAATTCTCAAGATTTTATATATATGTATTTGATGATGATTTAATTCGTGATGATTTTGAAATGAAAAATCTTTGTGGAGTTTTCATTATACTATTGTTAGTCGCGTGTTTAAAAAAAGAATATTTATTCCACGTCAAGTTGATTTGCTTATGTTTGACCAGGTGTCGAATGGTGATTAATAAATTCGTGTTCAAATTGATTAAAAATGGGGATTATGTTACTATGTTCTAGACGAAGAGAAAATAAAGACGTTTTGATTTTCGAAAAAATGCTAAAAACTTATTTTTGAGATTCTTATTTTATAATTTCTTGTATCGATTTCTGGAAGTTCGAATTTTTATTCAGCAAAATTTATTAGGATTTTTATTGAACTAAATGCGATTTCTATTTAAGGGGAATTTTAATTAAGAGGGGTTTTATTTACACGTGGAATTTTTACTCTGTGAATTTTTATTTTGACGAAATTTTAACGAAAATATATAAAATTTTTATTTAAACAAAATTTAAATTCATGAAATTTTTATTTAGATAATTTTAAGTCAAGGAATTGTTATTTAAATGAAATTTTAATTAAGGGAATAATTATTTTCACTGGTATTTTTAGAATTTTTACTTGACTAAATTATTAATAAACAGGATTTTTATTTAACTGAATTTTTAATTAATAGTATTATCTTAATTTAGCGGAATTGACATTTAGAGGAGACAAAATTTGAATTAAACAAAACATTCACTTAACAAAATTGTTATTTAACATAATTTTTAATTAATAAAATTTGCATTTAATGAAATTTGACAAAAAATTTTAATTTGGACAAAATTTGAATTAAACAAAACCTCTATTTAACAAAATTGTTATTTAACATAATTTTTAATTAATAAAATTTGCATTTAATAAAATTGTTAAACAATAGAATTTTTATTTAGCAAAATTGTTATACAATAGAATTTTTATTTAGCAAAATTGCTGTATACAATAGAATTTTTATTTAGCAAAATTATAATGCAACAAAATTTTCATTCAACGGAATTGACAATTAAAAAAATTTTAATTTAACAGAATTGCTATTTAATTAAATTTTAAGACTGACAATGATTTTGTTTAATTAAATATTGGTTAAATAAAAATTCTATTACTAGAAGAATTTTGACAAATTTTTTTCGGAAATGAAAATTTTGTTAAAATAGTTTTTTTCAATAAAAATTGAGTCAAATGAAATGTTTCATTAAATGACAATTTACAAGAATAAAACATTTCTCAAATTAAAAATTTTTTGTAAATAAAATTTTGTGTAATATATATATAGAATAAGCATGAATTCTCTGCTTAATGGAAATTTCGCAAAATAAATAATTAAATAAATATTAATAATAATAATTTAGCCCCACTTCCTTTTCTTTAACACGAATTTTGTAAAAAAAAATAGTTTTTCAAATTGAAAGTTTGCTAAATATACAGAATGGAACTTTGGCTTAATAATACTTTTATTAATATAGAAATTTCGCTAAATTATAAAGGTTTGGGAAGTTAAAATTTGGGTGAAGAAAAGTTTTGTGAATATACAATTAGGCTAAACAAAACGTTTACGAAACTACAATTTTGCTAAATAAAGGTTTTGTACATTAAACATTTGGCTAAATAAAACATTTATTTAGTAAACATTTGGCTAAGTAAAAGTTATTCAAAGTTAAAATTTGACTAAATAAGAGTTTTATACAAACAGTAAACTTGCGAAATAGAAATTTCTAAACAGAAATTTTGACAAACATGTGAAATTTATTTGAAATGAGAATTCATGTACAAAAAACGTCCAATGTACAAAAATTCTTATTTTTCTTCTATTTTTTCTTTATAAAAAAAATCTGTAGCAAAATAGAAATTCGACCTCATCGAATTAATTCAAATCAATTACTAACTAAATTTTCAGTTCCTGTACGAATTACTTATTCATATCAGAATTATGTAATAAATTAACAGAAATGTAAATTTGTAAATTATTCCTTATTTTCTTTTTACAGAATAATTATAAACTTTATATAAAGAAATTCAGAAAATAAAACATAAAACGTGATTTCAAATATAAACATACATTATTTACAAAGTTCATTCCTTAATAATTAAGACGTGTTTTCGCGTAAACATAAACTAAGTAAACTTTTATATTGAAAAATACCTCAATAAATTTAACTAAAGAAGTAAATATATTTATTGCTTGCAAAAATAAAAATTCGCGGAAGTTAAGCGCTCAATTTATTAACGATATGTACTTTGGTTTTCTTCCACATTCTAAAGGCGATTTTTTTTAGCAAACAGTCATCATTCCTATATAAATTCCATTTATCTTTTATAAAAATAATATTGACCTTTGTGCGCTTATCGAAAATTATATATAAAAATTCATAATACCAATGGATGTTTCGGAAATATTTTTTGTTTATCTATTAATTTGACTATTAATTTTTCCGTTCTAAATTATTTCATCGTTGCATTAGAACACTTTTTCTGCGTACCTATATCAAATTAAGACAAAAAACGTATCAAAAAGTTACTTCGCAAATATTTTGATACGTTTTTTGTCTCAATTTGCTATACGCAGAAGAACTGTGAGTTTTTATCTTTTTAAATATATTTTTTTTGTTTTTTATATATTGAATCCACCACTTCGAATTTTAAGAGTCTGACTTCATATTCGTAATCAGCAATCCCAAAAAACCCTCGAGAGATTTTTATCTTTTTCAGCAGCCATGTTGGATCCGCCATTTTGAATTTTAAAAAAATGATCGAATTTGTGATCAGCAACACCGAAAACATTTAAAGTACCCATAGATTCTGACTTTTTTTTAACTAATATATTCTGATTCTCAGTAACAATTGTGTAAAATAAGATAAAAATAGATTTGGAATTATCTAAGAACCTGACGTGTAATTTCCATTAATTTATTAGCAAAATTTACTAATTCAAAAGCAGGAATTCAGTTATTTATTCAAATTGAGAGAGTACTTTATTTTTTTATTGTTTTATATTTTATATGCATAATTTATAATAACTTTTTTTTATTGTGTATTATTATTATTTTATTTTTTATTTTATACGTAATTATATATTTTCTACTGTGCTTAATATTTAGTTATACATTTTTTATTTGCCAACGTAGTATATTTCAAAGGTTCAATTCTTTAATTATAAAAAATAATTACCGTTAAGACAAATCATTATACTTTTCTAACTTATTACTGTATTTGACAATACGAATATCCAAAATTCATTTTTTTTCCAAAATTTATTAAAATTGTTTTTTATCACACTTTCCTAAAATCAGGTCATATAATCAAGTTTTATCTGCAAATTTTGATAGAAATCGCAACTAAATTTTAATCAAATGATTCTATCTATCATATAATTAACCTGTTATCAGGATTAAATAAAAAATTTTCAAAATTTCCACTCCTTTTTTATTTAATTTTTATTTATTTTCGAATGGACAAATGTAATAATTTTTTTTTATACTGGAATAAAGAAGCTGAAATAATAAAAAAATTAATAAAATGGAAATTCTTCTCCGAAGAGAGGCGGTGAACAATATCAACTAAAAGTTAATTAAAAATCGCTGATGAAAATACAATTTTGAAATTATTTTTTCAAAGACAGAAAATCGTTTCTAGGCTAAAAAAGTCAGCGTATTTAAGGGATATTTAGATAATTAGCCAAAATTACGGCAAACTTATCACTAATTTTATCAAAAATTAGTCAAAATTACTGAAAATTAGTAAAAATACTAAATAAATAAATTAAGTATTTTATATAAAAAAATAAGGTATTTTGATAAAATTACTGCTGTATAATCACTGGATCACTAATTCTAACGATAATTAGTCAAAATTACAGAAAATTACTTAAAATTACTAAAATTAGTAAAAATATTAAATGAATAAAGTGTCTTAGGACTTTAGCTAGAATTACCGCTAAACATTCACTGAATCACTCATTATAGCGAAAATTAGGAAAAGTTACTGAAAATTACTAAAAATTACTCAAAATAACTAAAATTAGTAAAAATATTAAATAAATAAAGTCTCTAAGGACATTAGCTGAAACTACCGCTAAATAATCACTAATTTTAACGAAAATTAGTAAAAATTACTGAAAATTACTAAAATTATGAAAAATACTAACTTAAAAATTAAGTATCTTAGATATTTAGCTAAAATTACAGCTAAATAATAACTGAATTGCTAATTCAAAAATAATCACTGAATCACTAATTTTAGCCTACATCAGTAAAAATTACTTATAATAATTACAAATACTATAACTAAAAAATTAAATATTTTATAAATTTATCTAAAATTAACGGTAAATAATTACTAAATTATTTTAGCGAAAATTAGTCAAAAATCACTAAAAATTAGTAAAAATGCTATAAAAATACTATCTACAAAATTAAATATTTCAGATATTTAGCTAAAATTACAGCTAAATAATCACTGAATTACTAATTTTAGCGAAAATTAGTAAAAATTATTATAATTACTAAAATTACTAAACTAATAAATTAATATTTTAGAAATTTAGCTAAAATTGCAGCTAAATAATCACTGAATTACTAATTTTAGCGAAACTTAGTAAAAAATTACTGAAAATTACTATAAAAATAGTAACTAAAAAATTAAGTATTTTAGGTATTTAGCTAAATCTAACTCCAAATAATCACTAAATCATTAATTTTAGCCAAAAATTAGTAAAAATTATTATAATTACTAAAATTACTAAACTAATAAATTAATATTTTAGGTTTTTAGCTGAAACTATTGCTAAATAATCACTGTATCCCTAATTTTAGCGAAAATTACTAAAAATTACTGAAATTTCCTAAAAATTCATAAAATTAGTAAAAATACTAAATAAATAAATTATTTTTGGTATTTTGCTAAAATTACCGATAAATAATCACTAAATTACTAATTTTAGCCTAAATTAATAAAAGTTACTGAAAAGTACTAAAATTATGGAAAATACTAACTAAAATATTAAGTATTTTAGATATTTAGCTAAAATTAACGCTAAATAATTACTGAATCACTAATTTTAGGGAAAATTAGAAAAAGTTACTAAAAATTACTAAAATTTCTATGAAAATACTATCTAAAAATGAAGTATTTTAGATATTTAGCTAAAATTACCGCCAAATAATCACTGAATTACTAATTTTAACGAAAATTACTATAATTACTAAAATTACTAAACTATTAAATTAATATTTTAGGTATTTAGCTAAAATTACTGCTAAATAATCACTAAATCCCTAATTTTAGCTAAAATCAGTAAAAATTACTGAAAATTACTAAAATTACTTAAAATAATAAATAATTAAAGTACTAAATTGTCAATTTGTTTATAAATTTTCTATGTTATTCCAAAAAACAATTCTCCCTCCTTCAGTTCAAAAAACAGTGACAACTGAAAAGGAAAACACCGCAGAGACTAACTTTCGAACCAGTAGAAATCTGTTTCGTCTGATTAAAAACAGATTTTCTACTTATCCTCACGGAACTTCACTCTAAACTTACCCAATTTCCAATACAGATGGCAACAAACAAATATTCTCCGATTTTCATTTTGGATACAGCAGAATAAGAAATTTTCCCATTGGATAATCGAATCATTCAACAAAAAAAAAGGGCTTTTATAACCCAACATGAATGTTATGTCAGTTTATATATTGGTAATCAACGCATATGCGTCTGCATTGTAACTAGTTTCCTGTATAAACACATATATATCATATAATAATAAATGTGTGCGTTTCAAGACAACAATAACGGATGAGAAATTGTCTCATTATTTTTATTTCTCAATTTTTTTTTAATGTAAAATTTTTTCCACAATCATTATAATAAAGAAATAATGAGCAAGCAGCAATTTATCGCGACTGATGCAATCGATGGTATTTGGCCCTTTTTACTCAGTGTAAGTGTTTACAAAATTAAATATTACTTTTAAAATTAAAATTTTTAATGACACACAAAAAAATATCTAGTGATAATATAGTGTTTTTTTCTCTCAAACATTCTCTGTGAGTGTATATAAAACAGAATTTTTAATGAAAGGAAAAATTTTTATATCATGACAATATAATGTCACCGGTTCTGCTCCAATCAAAGTAGCTTATTATATTCAGCATTATATATATATATATATACATGTTATCATGCCACCCAATTATTCGTCTCTCATGAGATTGCATATTATCAAAATTAAAAAAAAAAAATTGAGAATAAGAAAAAAATGTTTACTTGTGTAATAAAATTATTATGAACGTTGAATAAAATGAATTATTATGAACTTCTTTTTATAATGGTGTCACATTATTTAAACAGATACCGGGTAGTGTTACCTTGAATGTTCATTAATTTAAATGTATATAACAGTAATGTATGACAGCAAAATGTAACACCAATATATGTTTACATATATATACATACATAAATTGTAAAATTAAATTGAACGAATAATCGATAGAATTTCATATATAGTTCATTACGTAATTATAGAGAGTTTATAAGATTTTACATATATATGTAAATATTTTTTTATACGAGAATTTTTTTTTTGTAAATATATTTAAATATATGTCACTTTCTCTTTTTGGCTTCTTTAAAAATTCGGTAAAATTCAAGAGTGGAAATTAAAAAACTTTCTATATAGAGAGAAAAATTTGAAATATTCTCATCAAAATTTTTGCAAACATAATTATATAGTAAAATAGTTTTTTATTCTCTCATTTTTTTTTCTTCTTTTTTTTTTTTTAATTCGCCATTGTCACGAATATGAGAGACGTGCAAAAAATTTTAATGAGAGCGCATTATTTAAGTACCTAATATGCATTTATCATGTTCTGTGACAAGTATACCAACAATTCACACAGAATGATGTGTTTGTTTAACTTAACCATGGAGATAAATAATATTTAAACGTATTGTTTAAGTGAGAAAGAAATTTTTTAATCTATAAAAATTCTTTAGCTTATAATTGATTTTAGTTTAAGTTTTAGTTCTTTAGTTTAACTTTAAATTCATAAAACTTTAGTTTTCTTCTTCTTCTTCTTCATTCTTATCATGTTTCTAAAATTTCGAACATACAAATAAACGACTTTGGTTACTTCTTTTAATTTGCAATTTATTGAAATAAATAATTCTTAATTTAAATAAATTCTTAATTTATATTATTCTTAACTTAGTATAATTATAATTTAATAGTTTAATTTTTAAAAATATTTATAAAGAAACAAACTTTCGTTCATATTTGAACATACCAACATTCATAATTTTAGGAAAATTTTTTATACTCTTCATTATTATAATAACTATTTTACTATTATTATTGTCATTATAATTTTCAATTATTATTTTTTAAAATTATTATTGAAATTATTATTTATTATTAAATTATTATTAATTATTACAAATAAAAAAAAATTTTTTTTTTTAAATATTAAATATTAAATTTAATAAAAAAATTTTATTTATTCAAATTAAACTTGTACACTGCAATTTATATTTAAAATTCCTTTTTTATTATTATTTATATTTTTATATTATCAATAGTCTATACATTTGAATAAACTCTTCTTTATTTACTCAGACATTATTCGCGACTGTTTGGTCTTATAATTTTTCATTAGTTTTTAATATATATTTTTATTAAAGAAAATTTTCTTCTTCATACAAATTTTGAAACGAATAAAGAAATAAATTATTTAAATTTGTTTAAATTGAATTTTATGTAAAAAAAATAATTATTATATTACTATTAAAAAATATAAATGTTTATTTGCCTTTTAGTCAAATAAACATAAAAATATTTATTATTTTAATGTACTTGTAAATAATTCTAAATTCACTGTTTTTGATAAGCACAAAAATAAATTTTTTTTTTATTAAAAAATATAAATGTTTATCTTTATTTGACTAAATAAATTTATTATTTTCTTTACAATAATTATTTTTCTAAATTATAATATACTTTTGTAAATAATTATGTATTCATTTTCTGATAAGCACAAAAGAAAAAGTAATATACCAGTTTTAATTTAAATAAATGAACACGCTAATGATGATATGAATGTATTTGAAAAAAATATGAGGAATAATTGAAATAATAAAAAAAAAATTGTTTCAGATCGAATGGAGGGACCCCTGGTTAGCAATTTTATTAACTTTTCATGTGGCCATCACAATGACAGCATTGATGACGCGAAATCATGCCAACTTTCAAATTATCCTTTTCCTTATACTCCGTAAGTTGATTAAATTCGATTATAATAATAATCGCTCATAATTGTCTGTAAACGTTAAAGAAATGAAAATTAAAGCAATTGGATAAAAGAGTTAATTTAAAATTTTTTTTTTATAAAGATACAAAATATGAAAGTAAATTTAATATATGGTAATTAGAAAAATTAATATTAATTTTAATAATTAAAAATAATAATTACAATTTTGATAGTTGAAAGAATATTTAATATAATAATAATAGTTATAATTTTAATATTGATTGTGTTTAAGAAATAATAATTATAGTCCCCTTTTTTATTATTTAATTTCCGAAAGAAATCTCTAAATTCTTAGGATCGAGTCTCAAATTATTATTATTTTTATTTTTACTATTAGTTTTAACTGAGATTCTTTAATTTAGTTGTGAGAGTAATTTTTAAATTTTAACTAATTATTGCTTCTTTAATTTAACATTGTGACAATAAATAATAATAATTTTCTTTTTCTTTTAATTTTCAAGTACTATTAGTCTACTTTTCTGAAAGTATCAACGAAGTTGCAGCCACAAATTGGAAGTAAGTTTTGTACTAAAATTATTCCTGTTCGTGCAGAATCTTATTATTTATTACGTGATGTAACATTAAATGATACATGATTATTTTGATTTCTTACAGGGTATTTTCTAGACAGCAATACTTCGATTCCAAAGGCCAATTTATATCTCTCGTTTTCTCAGTGCCTATTTTAATTAACTGTATGATTATGGTGGTGAGTATTTATTTTTTATTCCACTTTCTAATTCATATATTATAATTTTATCAAAATAGAATTAGTATAGTTATTTTTTATACTGATTTTTATTGTTTATTTACTGTTGTCCTTAATAACAATTTTATTGTATAAAAATTAGAATTCATTAGTATTTGAAGTAGAAATTGTTAATTATTAATATGTTAATTATTATAATATGTATTTTTAATTAATATATATTTAAAGGCAAGTTGGTTATACCAATCGAGTCAATTGATGACAAGTTTAAAAAGGGCTCAACTTCGACAGAAAGTGAAATCGCGACAAATTGAGGAGGAATCCTCAAATACAAATGGTAACGTCACCAGGCAAAAGCAGGATTGAATTTTTAATTCTAGTCATTATTATTATTATACGAAATGTCGTCGTTCATTTTTTTAACGTATAGAAAATATGTACCTACAGTAAGATCAGAAAAACAAAAGAAAACATGTGATGAAGCTCTAATTTTCTCTATTATAAATTATTCGATTTTTTTTTAATATCATACAAAGAGAGATTATTCTCCATTCACTCATATATTAGATCTTCAAATCATATATTATATAAATATAGGTACTTAGAGCAACACCAGAATTTTTGACTGTACAGTTTTTTCCGTCTTTGCAGCATTTTACAAGCAATATAATATTGAAAGCTGCTCTTTTTTAACGAAAAAGTAGGCATAATATTCGCGCTATATCAAAACTTGAATTAATAATAATAACATAATCCACATATTATATATAAAATACCAAGGAATGATAAATTTTAGTTTTTAAATGGATGTCGATAAAAGATAGGAAACCCATTTTGAAACATATAAATAATATTGCAAATGTGATAATATCTAGTTTGAGAGAGAAAAAAAAAACGTTATACGTGTAAGATCGGTAATTTTTACACAAATATAAATATAAAATATGCGTCGAGACACATTTCTGAAAAAAAGAAAAAGTTTTCTGAATCTTTTTGATATATTCATTTAATTCTTTATTGTAAAAAAAAGGAGTTAAAAATACTTTCTCCAGTGTTAAAAATATATACATATTTATAGGAATGATGTACTTATATATTAATGCAACGATATTAAGTCGTATTTTTTGCGAAACAATATTCGAAAGCCTATTTTTCGCACCTTCGATGATCAAAAAGAAAAAAAAAATTGTATTGTTTTGGAAAAATAATTTTTTTTTTTGTTGAAGGCGACGAAATAATTTTCAATTTATGTGACAAAACGGATTACAAAAAAATTTTGTTTATAAATTATAAGTATATATGATATATTTTTTAATTTAGTAATAAGCTGCGTAATAATTTTATGAGCATTTTCTTGCCTCAAGTGCATTGTTATCGGAAATGTTATTCTCGATGCTTTTTATTTATAATATATATATAGTTAACGCACTACTTATATTGCAATAAATATATATATAATATTTATGCATATTGTAAAGAAGAAAAAAATTTCATTTTATAAAATGTGAGAATTGTTTTTTGATTTTTATTCATTTTTTGTCATTCTAGTTTCATTAAACGATTATAGATTTTATGCTTTTTTGAAAAAAATGAAGTTTTTTGATTATTTTGATTATTTTTGTAAACAATATACATTATAAATATTTATAAAACAGTGAGAGTTTAGTTTTTATTTAATTAACCTTTCGATACTTTTGAATGAAATGAAAAATTATCAATTTAAATTTATAACTTAAAATAATTATTAGATTTAATAGTGTAATTATATTATTAATCCTTACATCTTTTTTTTTAAATTATAAATATATTTTAGGGTAAAAAATATTTTTGGCTATAGCTTTTATTTATTTCCGTTTATTTGCTATTGAATAATTCATTATTTAATATTTTTATTTATTGCTTTAACGAGAAAAATTGCTTTTTCAGGAACTGTGTTTTAAATTCTGGTGGGTAATTGTCACGCGTGCGCAGAATGACCTTGAATTTTTCGGTGTAAATCAGCCTTGTTTTAGAATAGTGTGAAAGTCGACCTTAAATTTAAATTCCCTGCACTGCGATCGAACAAGACCAAACATCAAACGACGAGCAAGACGAGTGAGATTTGGTTGGATCTCGAACTCGAGTAGATTTAAATTTTGTCCCAGAGAGAAATTAAGGTAATAGTATAAAAATCAAAGAGGTGGGTGTTAATGGGGACGAAGTCAGTATGGGCAAAAGGAACTGGAAACGGAAATCCGGCTACTATATACAACGGTAGCCGGATATGTAGATAAGTTAGACAAAAGCCATTTCATTTAGGCAAAGAACCCCTTTTCGATAATTATGTAAATAGATCAAAGAATCTGATTTGCACCAACTCCTCGAACCTTCCTTTTATTAAAAAAATAAATAAAACAAAATTTTTTTTTATTTGAATAAAAATTCTACATTATTAGCATATTTTTTTAGTACCACAATTCGTCGCCAGAGTAAAAATGAAAAATATTAAATACCGCTCTCGCGCAATGATTTTGTGTCATAACCTTAAAAAAAAATTCAGTGATAAGTTTAGCATTTGTCAATTTCTGTATATTATTTTTTTTATTGATAATTAATAAATTAAATATAATAGAGAAAATATTTTATAAATAATAAGAGAAAATGGCTGAAAAGAAATTACATACTTTGCAAACGAATGAGGAGATTATCGAAGAATTAACGAAAGATTTTAAAAGTACCTGTATGAAGGATGATAAGACGAAATCTGAGAAAGGTGAAAATTTCGAGTCAAACAGTAGTAATAAGGATGATCCCTGGGAGAATATAGGAAAAGATCCTGATGAGGATGAAAAGGAGGAAAAATCTGAAACAACTGAAAATGTAATTGATGAAGATTTATCCGACGAAGAGGAGTTAAAAGACAGGGATTTAAATTTAACCGAGGAAGACAAAAAGGTTAGTTCACTTTCTATTTTGTCCTTATTTTTTCATATTGAGTTCAATAGACTTTTTGATTTGCAAATTACGATAAATTTTAAATTAAGTTTCTTTTTTTGGGGAAAGGAAAAATTTTTTCCTTCTCTTTTTTTTAAATAAAATTATTTATTTTGAGGTTATGGTTAGAGCTCTGTAATGTTTGAAACATTTTCTCGATATTCTAATAGAGGAAAAATAATAATTATTAGTATTAAAAATTAATTATTATTAAAATTAATTCTAAACATAGAAAAATTTGTAATGTGTTATTTTTTTAAAACAAATTCTTTTAGTTGTTGCAAAAAGAGTCTGAAATCATCAGAAGAGATGCTAATGATCGATTCAGAATGGGTGAATTTGAAACAGCCCTGTCTATGTATTCTCAAGCTTTGAAAATTTGTCCTTTGTGTTGTACTCAAGAAAGGACTTTTCTCTTCGCTAACAGGGCTGCAGCTAAATCCAAACTTCCGGTATGTGAAATAATACAATTCGATTTTTCTTTTCAAATATTTTCAATTTTAAAATTATTGTATTGAAAATCATCGAATTGTTGCAAAGAATTTTATCAAAAAATTTGAAAATAATAGAATTCCTTCAAATAATTTTATTATTTAGAAAAATAACTGAATTCTCGCGAAGAATTTTATTAAAATTCTAAAAAATCCTAATTAAATTCTTTTGAAGAATTTCTTTGAATTTTTTTTAAACTAATGAAGTTTTTTTAATAATTTTAATTGAAAATTTTGAAAACAGTTGTAATTTATGAAGAAGAATTTTATTAAAATTGTATTGAAAATAATTGAATTCTTGTGAAGAATTTTACTATTTATAAAAATAATGGAATTGTTCCGAAGAATTTATTAAAATTTTAGAAAATAAATGAATTTTATGTTAACATTTGAAAATTTAATTTTTTTCGAGGAATTCTATTAAAATTGTTTTAAAAAGAATTGAATTTCTGCAAAGGATTTTACTATTTATAAAAATAATTGAATTTTTTCGAAGGATTTATTAAAATTTTAGAAAAAAATTGAATTGTTATGAAGAATTTTATAGAAATATTTGAAAATAATGAAATTTTTTGGAAAAATTGAATTAAAGTTGTTTCAAAAATAATTGAATTTCTTTAAAGAATTTTATGAAAATTAAGTATATTCAAAATAATTGAATTCCTCACAAGAATTTTATTATTTTTTGAAAATAATTAAATTCATTCAATTTTTTTGACAAATATATTTAAAAATTGCATTGAAAGTAATTTAATTTTTATATAGAATTTTTTTTAATATTTTGAGAATAATTGAATTATTTTTAGAGAATTTTGAATTCTTGTTGAAATTGAATTTTATGGAAATTTTTGAAAATAATTAAATTCTTCCGTGAATTTTTATTTAAATTGGATTAAAAACAATTTAATTCCTGCAAAGAATTTTAGTATTTGAAAAAATAGTTGAATTGTTTTGAAGAATTTATTAAAATCTTAGGAAATAATTGAAATTTATGGAAATATTTTAAAATATTTGAATTCATCCGAGGAATTCAATTAAAGTTATTTTGAAAATAATTGAATTCCTGCAAAGAATTTTACTATTTATAAAATTAATTGAATCCTTGCGAAGAACTTTACTATTTATAAAAATAATTGAATATTTTCGAAGGATTTATTAAAATTTTTTCGAAATGTTTTAAAATTTAAAAAAAAATTGAATTCTTTCGAGGAATTTTATTAAAATTTTTGAAAATATGAACAGTAATAATTAATTTTGTACTTAATAAGTGATTCTTTTAAATTTTGATTATGAAATTTTAAAAATTAATAAATTAATAATCAACCAATTGAATAATAATAAATATTTATCAATTAATAAATAACAGCGTAAATAATTCTATCTAAAGGAACAAAAATTGTGTGCAAAAAACTTTTTTGAATTATATTCACACTTTGAAATTAACTCTTTTAATTTTACACCATTCACAGAATGAGAAACAATCTGCAATTAGAGATTGTACTAAAGCTATTCAACTAGATCCAAATTATGTAAAAGCTTATTTAAGACGTGCTAATTTATACGAGGAAACAGAGAAATTCGATGAGGCTTTGGAAGACTTTAAAAAAGTTTTAACTTTCGATCCAAGTCACACCGAGTCGAATTGTGCAATTAGGGTAAGTTTCTCTTTGAAATTCATTATTATTATTACAATTAATATTTCAATTAACATTCTGTTAAAATCTTCAAAAAAAAAAAAAAATAGAAAAAAATTGAATAAACTTTTTTCTTCAACAGAGGCTACCAAGTTTAATTGAACAGAGAAACGAGAAATTAAAAACCGAAATGCTGGGAAAATTGAAAGATCTTGGTAACTTAGTTTTAAAACCTTTTGGCCTCTCAACCGATAATTTCCAGTTACAACAAGATCCAAACAGTGGTGGCTATTCTGTAAAATTTAATCAGAATTCAAGTTAAGAGGATATGGAAAAATATAAAACTGACGAATGAATGTGTTTACAATATGTATAAATTATAAAAAAAAAATTGTAGCATAAGGAAAAACTAAGTTTTAAATAAATTTTGTTCCAATTTTTTCTATTAAAAACCGTCTTCGAATTTTTTTCCCAACCTCTTTTATATTTTTCTGTTTTTTATATTTTACTGTACATTTTTATATATTTCTAAAAATATTTTCTATTTTTTATCTATTTTTTTATTTTTTTTCTAATTTGTCCACTTATAAAAATATTTTACAAAAGAAAAAAGTCAAACTTTGCAGGAATATTTTGTTATACCTTCTGAAGTTGTCTTATTTACATTTTATTTGCCTCTACAAATGTTTTAATTTTGTATTTAAAAAGAAGGTTATAAATGTTTGTGTAGGTACTGACTGCGAAAACAAGAGGAAATGTTGCAAATATTTGGAAAAAACAAAAATTGTAAATATTACGTTAGTAAATAATTTTTCTATTTACTTTTTTACTTGATAGAGATTCATTTTTCTTTTACATTCATATATATTAATTACATTTTTCAAACTAATTTTCCCTTTATAGTTCAAAAGTACTAAACAGATAATAAATTTCGCTTTTTAAATTGACATGTGTCTAAAGTTTAAGTATCAAAGTCGTATTAAAATTTTATATTTTAGAAACTTTTATAAAGTAACTTTTGTCGTAATAAGAATAGAAAAAAAAGTTCTCGTTCAACTTTTTCCTGTGACTTTGTTTGCTCTTTTCTGCGTTACATATTATAGATTTCTCGAATCAATCTCGTTTAACTTTCACTTAATGTATATTTGTAATAACAATGATATTAATAATAATGAAACTAAAAATTATTTTTTATAATTATTAAGTATAAAAATAATAACCATAATAGCAATAAGGATAATATTAATTATAAAACAATAATAATAAGAATAATATTAATTGAATTACAAAGTGGAAATTAATTTTTAATAACTAATTATTTAATGTTAGTTAGTTACACTTAATTTTAGTTAGTTTTACATAATGTTAGTAAGTCTTGAGTTACAAATTTTTAAAATATCCGAGAAAAAGGATTGAAAATAAAATTTTTTTTACTGCTTTTTGAAAATTATAAAATTTTTCCTTTCTGGCTTTTTTATCTTCTCGTGATCTTTTTACATTTATCGATATATATCTATGAACGTGATACATATAAAATACGTCCGTAGAAAGATAAATAGTTACATGCTCGTCACGAATAAACCTTTATGTATCTTGAAACGTGATCTTTTCATCCTTAACCATTATATAGAAGAATTTCTTAAAAGGAAAGAAAAAAACTACAACTGAAAAAAAAAAATTTGCAATTTGTACAATATTTTACAAAATATAAATTTTCCTCTTGTATAAAATTTCCATTTTCGATAACAATATATATATGTACACAATAGATGGATGAGAGAATCTTAAATCGTGACGTATTCTAATTATGGTAATTATTGGGTTATTCAATCTGAAGAGAAGTTTTCAAAACATTTATTACTATTAATGAATCTTGTAATAATTTCGATGTACTTAAAAGGATGTTTAAAAGATTTTCTTTCTTTTGGGGAGAAAAATTTATTTTATTTTTTTTTTTTTTTGAGAAAACTGCTGTGAAATAGATTCTTAGTGAAAGAAAAAACGTCGGCGTCCTCGACTTTTGATATCGTATACACGCTTAAGTTGTATTGGAGCTAGACGTTCTGGCGTCGTGAACACTCGCCATTCTGGCGGCTAAATTCAATGCCAATTTTTCATGTGTTTGCTAGATTTTATTTTCAAAATTTTATTTTTCATTATTTTATGTTTTTTGCAAATTTGGGATTCAGTAAAAATTAGGTATTATTTTTATTTATTTTAATTTTTAATATTAATAAGTAAAATAATTGTTTATTTTATTTATTAATATTAAAAATTTAAAATAAATAATAAATAATAGTAAAATAATAAATAATTTATAATTATATAATATAATTGTAATAATTATAATTTCTATATGGAGATAAATATTTTTTTATGAAAATATAAACCTATTCAATTTGTTCAGTGACTGGTATTAAAAAGTTGGTGAAGTAATTTCAGATAATCAATTATTCTCATTAAAACTAAACCAGTCTGTTCAAATTAAATATCGTTTTCCTTTCCGTTTATTTGTTGAGGGCCGAAAATACTCATCGTAATTTTATTTGAAGTACGATTCGTTCCGCCGGAATGAATGAAACTAAAGTTGGCCTTACGATTTAGACAGGGGAGAAAAGTCTGACTAAAACTCACTTTTTCTACTGATGGGAAATTCACAGGAAAGAATTCAGAAAGGTTGTCTGATTGGACATTATTTTTACTACTAATAGTTACGTGAAAATTACAAAAATTTACATTGTCTGACTATACTTGAATTTTACTACTGACACCAAAGTGGTAGAAAAAAAAACACTTGAAAGATTATAAAGTTATTGACAACTTGTACTTTTGTCGGACTAAAATCCACTTTTTCTACTGTAGTACTGTAGGATAAAATTGCAATACAAAAATACAAGATAGAAAGACATTTTTGGTCTGACTAAAAAATATTTTTACTACTTGGAATCAAAAGAAAAGAAATAAATTATTTTTCTGGCTTAAGATTGTTGTTTCTACTTTTGTAAACTGATAGAAAATTAGTTGTGGTAAAAATGAGATGATTACATTTTAGGCTGACTATATTAGACTTTTACTACTAAGAGTAAAATTACAAGAAATAATTTACTTGGCTGGCTGAAGATCGGTTTTACTGTTTACACCGAAACTAGGCGAAACAATGTTTTTTTTGAACTGAAACTCTTATTTACGACTGAAAATTAAAAGTAGTTGAAAGTATCATTACTTTGTCTGATCGTAAACTGCTTTTACTACTAGAATCAGAGTCTGAGTTTTCTCTTAATAAAACCTACTTTACCAAGTAAAGATTAAAATTACACGCAACTTGCATTTTAACTAACTTCAAATTTCTTTTGCTACTTGTAAAATTACAAAACAGTAATGCTTTGTCTGACTGAAAATTTTTGAACTACTTAAAATGTATTTTAAAAGTGACTTTGTGTATCTAAAACAAGTTTTCACTATTGAAAATTAAAATTTACATAAATTATTATCACTAAATTTTTTTTTACTAGGAATAGTAATTCTTTTTACAATTAAAATTTTGAAAATAAAGCACTTTGTCAGACCAAAAATACTTTTACTATACTGATACTAAAATTTCAAATAACTCAAAACTTGTCTGACTTAAAATATTTTTACTACTGATAGTCAAACTTCGAGAAACTACAACATTTGTCGGACCTAAATTATTTTTATTACTTAAACTGAAATTACCTTTAATTACCATATTTGTCTGACTTACATTATGTTGTACTACTTACATTAAAATTTCCTCTAATTAACCACTTTTGTCTGACTATAACAGCTTTTTACTACTAATAGTTAATTTTGTCTGATCAAAGCGTTTTTTCTACTTAAACTAAAATGCATAAAATTATCACTTAGTGTCTGACTAATAGTATTTTTTACTACTAATAGTTAAAAGCAAGAAAACTAATTACTACGTCTGACCAAAAATACTTTTACTACTAACACAAAAATTTTGTCTGGCCGAAATTAGTTTTACTACTTGCAATTAAATTTCCATTAAATAACCACTTTTGTCTGACTAAAATTACTTGCACTACTAGTAGTAGTAATATTGCATTAAATTTTTGAAAATCCGTCAATTTTGATTAAATAGAAAATTTGACTACTAATAATAGAATTACGAAAAAAATACTTTCTTTGTCTGACCAAAACTACTTTTTCCACTTAGAGTAAAATATGTACAACAAGCGTAATGTCTGACTTTATATGTTTTTACTACTGATACTGACTAATAATATCTTTTACTCTCTAAATTACGACGTTTGTCTGACTAAAATAACTTTTCACTACTAATAGTTGAGTTGCGAGAAAATAAGCTTTTTGTCTGACCAAAAATACTTTTTCTACTTCAAATAAAATCCATAAAACGACCACTTATGTGTGACTTAAATATTGTTTACTACTGATACTAAAACATTTAGAAACTACAATGTTTGTCTGACCGAAAATATTTATACTACTTTAACTAAAATTTCCTCTAACTAACCGCTTTTTTCTAACCAAAATTATTTTTCTTTCCCGTGTGGAAAAATTTTAGGGCGCTGACCAAGCGCTTAATAGACTGTCTAACGTCTTTCTAGACCCAGGGCAGACGGTCTTGTCGAGCGGCTGTTCAGAATTGAAACGAAACTTCCACGCTATCGTCTAGAATAGACCAGCGTTTCTGGTCTGATCAGCAGTGCTAGTAAATTCTAATCTACGTCTATTCAAAATTTCTCGTTATATGTTATGACAACTATTCTTAGAATAATAAAACTTAATTATATTTGAAATAATTTTAATGACTTTTTTTTATATAAAAAGTATTAAAAAATATTTTAACTTTCTGTATTTTTCACTTCAACTTTCTTTAAGCGTAAGGCTTTGTGTCCCTCCCAATCTTTGGCATTGGAGATAGTAGTCTTTTTGTAAAATAAAATTTACTGCAAATCAAAACAGCCGGATGAAACTATCAGTCGTACTCAGCACCAATCTTTAGGCGTCAACCACTAATTAATGAAATTAATAAATAAAAACTTACTAAATTTGCTATTTAGTGGATATTGATTCCCAAATAACAATACTCGATGGTTTTTTAAATCATTAAGTATTACAAAATTTGAAGGAGAGGCATATTGGTAGATGACGCCTAAACATTGATGCTGAGTACGACTGCTAGCTTCAGCCGACTAATCAAAACACATAGAAACACATCAAAATCATTTTTTTTCAGGGCACATTTAAAATTAAATTATACAGAAAACAACAACAACATAGCACATTATTATTCACGTAAAACAGAAACCACAACAAATACTATAATTCACAAACAAAATGCATCACACACTGACTGATCTAACGACGCCAAACGACGCGACGCCATTAGGCGCCATGTTACTTAACAGCTGGGCATTCATCGACGCATGCGCATATAACATCCTAGACCAAATCTAGACGGTCTTAATAACACCGTACTAGACGGACATATTTGACTTAGATTTTTTCTAATAAGCCAATCTGTTAAGTCACTGATTCGGGACTTGATGGACCGTCTAGAATTAGACGGACTTGATGATTGCTAATCGGGAAATCATTGGACTCTAGACTGCCACAATATTTTTCCACACGGGTTCTTACACTAAATTTCCCTCTAAATAACCACTTTGGTCTGACTAAAATAACTTTGCACTACTTATAGTAAAGCTACGAGAAAATGCTGGTTCTGCCTGACCAAAAATTCTTTTCCTACTTCGATTAAAATTCATAAAATGACCACTTATGACTGATTAATAGTATTTTTTGCTTATAATAGCAAAATTACCTGTAACTAATTATTTAGTCTGATTGAAACTACTTTTACTACTTAAACATAAATTTTCAAAAAATAATCACTTTCATTTATTCTGCGTATGACAAAAATTACTCTTACTACTTGCACTCAAATTTCAAGAAACAAACGTTATGATTACAGGACAATAAAACCAATCCAAAAAATCCAAGAAAAAAAGTCCAAAGTACAAAAATTCAAAATAAAATTGTCCAAAGCCACGTTTTTACACAAAAATTCAATTATTTTTCAGAAATAAAAAAATTTCTAGAAAAATTCTAATTATTCTATAAAATTTTAAAACAATTTTTCCATAAAATACAATTATTTTCATAATTAAAAAAATTTCTAGAAATATTCCAATCATTCTATAAAATTTTTAAAACAATTCTTCAAAGAAATACAATTATTTTCAACAAATTTTCATAAAATTCTTTAAAAAAATTCAATTATTTTTTTCAATATAATTCCATTTAAATTTAAAAAAATTTTTTTTTAAATTTTTTTTCTTGTTGGATTTTTAATTTCTTTGCACTTTTTGACCAGGACAAAAAATCCAAAAAAATAAGTCCAAAGTGAAACTATTTTTTTTTACTTTTTTGGATTTCATTTACTTTGGATTTTTTGGTTTGGAATTTTTTTTTGGACTTCTTGTCTGGATACCAAACCTTATGTCGCTGACTTAAAAGTATTCTTTACTACTGATTGGCGAATTTCAAAAACTTACAACTTTGTCTGAGCATAATTATTTTTACTACTTACAAGTGAGATTTTTTTGTGAGAATACTTTTTTTCTGTCGAAAACATTTTTCTTTCCTAGTGTTAAATTTCCAAAAAAAAATTTCTTTGTTTTGAGAAAAAAAAATAGAATTTTTATCTAAGAGAGAGAGAGAGAGAGAGAGAGAGAGAGAGCTCTCTTGGATAAAAATTCTATTTTTTCCAATTTATTTTTTTTCCTTTATCATTATATTTTTCAAAAATATAAAAATTAAAAGAAAATATGTTATCATCATTAAACTCTTCTCTCTCATCACTAGTATCAAAATTTCAATCATTTTCTATTTCTGTCCGACTCCAACTGACCTTTACTACTGAAAAAATTTTTTTGTTAAAAGCTCTTGAAAGCGGCAATGTGAATATAAAAAAATTCCACGTAAAATACGAATGGGCGTGGAGAGTTTTCAAAAATAATGTTAAGCTAGCTTTTTAAAAAAAAAAGAAAAAAAAACAGTTAAAAAATAATAATTCCCTACAAATATATTTTATCACAAATTTGTAACTTCAATACTCTCAATTCCGCCCACTTTAAAAGTTACATAACTTCCAAAGGGAATGAATAATGATGCTGATTATCATTTTTTCCCATTACCATCATCATCATCATCATCATCATTATTATTATCACGATATACATGAAATATTTATTGAGCCAAAATGCCTTCGGTTCGCTTTTAAAATGAAAATTCTGATGGGGGTAACTTGAGGAGAAATGAGAGAAGACGAAGACGAAGAAGAAGAAGAAAAAAAAGCCAGCACTCTCTGAATATGTTTGAAACTATTTATATTCTCACGACTCCTATATATACATGTATTTGTAGGGTGGAAGTGTGTATATATATATATAGGCAGGAGAGAAACGGGAATTCATTGCTTTTCGTTTTCACCCACATTTCGGCGCAGGCGTGATAAAAGCGAGAGACTGCTATTATCAGAGAAGGAGCGTAGACGTAAGAGAGAGCACCGGCCGTCAGATCGGGGGCTGAGATTCGTGGTGTGCGGGGGTGGCTATCCGTACAACGAACAAGGGTTCCACGAAAAAGCTTTCAGTTACGCAAAAGTGGTGGGCTCGTTCGATACCGAAAATTCTCTCTTTCTCTCCTTTTTCTCATCCCTCTCTTGTTCCACGAAAAAAAAAATTTAGTGCCGTTCAAAAAAATCCCCCCTTAAATACAACTTTTCGATATCACTGCCAGAATTTTTTTTTTGGTTCTTTAAAATACGAAATGGAAATTTTAAAAGTGAGAGATGTGAGGTTTTTCAAGTGATCAAAAAAACACAGTGCTCTTGTTTTTTGAAATTCATTTCCAATAAAGGGAATCAAGAATTGTGAGGATATCAATGCGGCATGTCTTCCGTGGTGATCGCCGAAAAGGTGGGTGAACCATCTCTCTCTCTCTCTCTCTCTCTCTCTCTCTCTCTCTCTCTCTCTCTCTCTCTCTCTCTCTCTCCTTCTCTCAACCACGTTTTCGCAGAGGCACTGACATTGTCAATGGCTACAAAACCGGAAGTTAGTGCAGGGGCCTTCACGCTCGGTTTATGTGTGAATCAATAAATTCAGAATGCCGGTGTAAAATAGGGTTTGCGGTAAACTAAAAATATCTTCCTCGACCCCGATCTAAGGATAACGTACTTTAGCACTAATGAAAACATAGGGGGGGGGGGGTGGAATTAGTATCATCAACTCGGATACTTGTTAAATTTTTCTAATCGTTTTTCTTTTCTTTTCTTTTTTTTTTTTTTGCTTTATTTCAATTTGTAAAGTGAGATTTTTTTCTCTCTCCTTTTTTTCGTTACTCGCCCAGGGAAATGCGGTGGGAAATTTTATTACGAGCCATTACGTTTCTTTCTTTCGATTTAGGAGATTTTTTTTTTAAAAAAAGTATATTTTTTCGATTGTGAAAAGTAATCTAGGGGGAGAATAATGTCAATAGAATTGTAAAAAGAAAATAATAAAACGGTGAAACTGGATAGAATTTGTCAATAGCATGAATAATGGGGGAAAAAAATTGGGCTACAAAATTTAGTGAATGTTAAACGATAGTAAAAAAATGGAAATACTTGTTACATGGACTATTTTGAGTCTTTTTCTTTTTAAGGCAAAAAAATATTTTATCTGGAATACCTACAAATGTTATTATATAAGCGAAATTTTTAGTTTTTCCAGTTAAGACTTTCGTTATTTTAGAGAAAATTATCCCTGTTCCAAAGCGAAATATTTTTTTCGTGTTCTATTTGGAGTTTTTATTCAAGAAAAGTAAATTAATATTCATTTTTTAAACTAAAATTAAATTTTTTGTTTGCAAAAATTTACGAAGGTGGAAAATAATTTCAATAACGTAAAAAATAGTTAAAATTTGTTAATAGCCAGAGACAAATTGTAAATAAAATAAAATAAAAATTTTTGAATTATTAAATAAAAGAAAAGGAAGGAAATTTTTCTAACATGAGCAATTTGGAAGTCTTTCTGATCTTGTTGGTTTTTTTAAAATAAAAGAAAATGAATACCTACCTATTTAGTAAGAAATATTAAATTTTTCCGTCTGCAAAAATTTACGTAAGCGAAAAATAATGTCAATAACGCAAAAAAAAATGGATAAATTTGTTTAACAGCAGGAAAAAAATGTGTTACAAAATTTAGTGAATATTAAACAAAAGAAAAAAGTGTAAATTTTTGTTATTCGAGCTATTTGGATTTTTTTTCAATCAAGTTGGTGTTTTTTTCAGGTTTTTTTTACAATAAAAATAAATTTATAGACATCTTTTTAAGTAAACTTAAATTTTGACGATTGCAAAAAATTACGCAAGCGAAAAATAATGTCAATAGCGTAAAAAATGGATGAAATTAGTCGATAACAGGAAATAATAGCAAAAAATTGAGCTTCAAAATTTAGTATGAATATTAAATAAAAGGAAGAAATGGAAATTTTTGTGACTATTAGGAATCTTTTTCCTCTCTATTTGGAGTGTTTTTTTTTTTTGCAAAAAGTAAAAGAATAGCCATTTTTTAATTAAAATTAAATATAGTTTAAATTATTTTATTAAAATTTAATTTTTAATTTACTTAAAAATTCAATTAAATTAAATTTTACTGTTTGCAAAAAATTACGCAGGCGGAAAATAATTTCAATAGCGTAAAAAATTGATAAAATCTGACAATAGAAGAAAAAATAAATAAATAAATTGGAAAAAAAATTAGGCTTGCAAATTTTTTTGAATATTAATCGAAAGGAAAAATTGAAATGTTTGATACATGAGCTTTTTGAAAGTCTTTTTCCAATCTATAGTTGACTTTCTTTCAATAAAAGAAAATTAGTGACTTTTTTTAAAGAAAATTAAATTTTTACGTTTGCAAAAATTTACGCAGGCGGAAAATAGTTTAAATACAAGGATAATTTCACTCTAGCTTGAAAAATAGATAAAATTTGTCAATAGCAAGGAAAAATTGAAAAAGTTTTGTTGCAAATACAGTCAATTTTAACCGGAAAGGAAAAGAAAATTTCTGTAATACAAACCATTTGCTCTCTTTTTACAATTTAATTGGTTTTTTTCACAATAAAAGTACATTTTTTTATTACTAAATATAAAAAAAACTAAAATAACCACGTTTATAAATTTACAAATATAAAAAAAATAAAATAGAAAAGAATTGAACTGAAAAAACGAAAATAGAATAAAAAATGGAAATATTCGCAAATATTTAGCAGAGAGGAAACGGAAGAAAGTTCGGAAATTTTTGTTACACGAGTCATTAGATTTCCTTCTTCGATCTGTTCGTTTTTTCTACAATGGAAGAAAAAACTTTCATTGCAAAATTTTACAAGCGAAAAAATGAAATAAAAAATTGTGCTAAATATTTAGTGAATATTGAACGAAAGGAGATGATGGAATTTTTTTTTATATACGAGCCATTTCTTTCTTCGATCAAGTTGAGTATTATTTTATTTTTTTTTTTTTGCAATAAAAGTAAATTTTTTTTCTGTGCTAACATTTTAAGAAAAATCTGAAAGAAACCTAAATTGTAAATTTTTTTCTTTGATAAAGTTTAAAGTAAAGTCTAAAAGAAGAAGAAAAAAACCTAAAGAGTAAAAAAAAAATGGAAAAATCGAAAAATATTTAGTAAAGAGGAAGCGGAAAAAAGTTCGGAAATTTTTGTTACACGAGCCATTAGATTTCTTCCTTCGAGCTAGAAGCTTTTTTTTATTAACGAAAATAAATTTTCTCTTTTGCAAAAATTTTGAAAACAAAAAAGGAAAAATAAAGCAGAAAAATATGAAAATAAATAGAAAGGAAAGCAAATTGTATTAGTAAGGAAAAAATTCGTATACGAAATGAATGAAAAAAGAAAAAAAAAATTTCAAATTGGTAATAGAATTTTCTTTCAAATTTTCTAGTTTGTTTACCATTTTCTCTACTATTTTATTAATTAAACTATTATTTATTTATTTAAATTTTTACGAATATAAAAAGTTACTTAACAAAAATTTTTTAAAAGTTGGAAGAAAATTATGAAACTAAAGAAAGAAAGAACTATTTAGGTATACCTATAAAATATAAAACTACAAAAGATTAATTATTAATATTCATTTATTACTAATAGGCTAAAGGCTCCTGTAATAAAGAATTTATTCTCAATTTCTAATTCAAGAACCCATATTTTATACCTCTTTTGATAAATTTTTTGTTCATTTTTACGATTTCTTTTTTTAAAATTGAATTCGAATTTATTAAACTTTTGTCCTACACGCCGATTTTAAGATAATTATTTCGGTTTTTATGCCCTTCTAAAAAGAAGATTAGGTAAATTAATCTTCATTAAGATCGTGGTTCTTGTTTTGAGAAATTCTGCGAAATATATAGATTTGAATAATCTCGGATTAAGATTGCTGGCGAAGATTATTTCTCAAGTAGGAAAGAAGTTGAGAGGAATTTGACATAATTTTCCTTTGGAAACTGTATAACTTTAGAGAATATTTTTGTGCTGAACGACTGAAAACAGTTTTCTTTACAAAGAATATATAATTTACTCTACTAAAAATCAATTCCAGAGAAAATTCAGTGAATTTATTTTATTAAAACAGAATTTTGTTTGGAGAATTATCTATTATTTGTTTCAATATAGTAATTAATTCAAAAATAAAAAAAAATTAAAAAAATGTAATAATTAAAATTGAAAATAATAAAAATAATAAAATAAAAAATAATTTTTTTCTGATTTTATTTTTAAAAGATAACATTTCTTCTGAAAAAAATTGTACTAAAAAAATTTTTTTGAAAGGCTTTTATTGAATTTATTATTTTAATAATAAAGTTCATCCGAAATAATTAATTTACAAAAGAATTTTATCGATATGATTATTTTACAAGAGAATTTTATGGAAATAATTATTTCATTAAAATTTCTATCGGAATAATTTATTTTATCAAAGAATTTTATTGAAATAATTATTTTATTAAATGAATTTGATTCGATTATTTAATTTTAATATCATATTTATTCTACTACACAAAATTTTACTACATAAATATATTTTTCTTTTTTATAAAAAATTTTAATTCGAAACAATAGAAATGTATTTCTATTATAATGGAAATAATATTTATTAAAGTAAAATTAAAATTAGTACAATTCTTTGCAAGAATTCATTTATAAAAGAGAATATTAATTGACAGTAATATATTAATTATTAGTAATATAATATTATTAATATTTATTAATATTAATAGAAATGTTCTCTTATTTGTATAAAATAAAAAAAAATTCTGATTTACAAAAGAATTTTCATTCAAAATAATAGAAATAAAATTTATTTTTATATTTATTAATTAAAAAGCAATTTTTCTTCTTCACAAAGGAATTTTGTTTAGAAATACGAGAAATATATTTTATTCTCATTTTCATTCATAAAAAAAACAATTTTTCCTCGTTATGAAAGAATTTTTTGTTCGAAATACTAAAAATATATTTTATTAATTATTATTATAGTAAAAAAACAATTTATCTTCTTTATAAAAGACTTTTAATTCAAAATAATAAAATATTTTATTTTTATTACGATTAAAAAAATAAAATAGAAAATACTTTTATTTTTTAATTATTTTAAAAATAAAATTTATTTTTACTATTAAATGGCGCAGAAAAGTTTGTGCTAATTTTGAAAACTAATTACAATCAAATGATTTTTGTTGGAATAATTTACTCCACTAAAGAATTCTCCTGGAATAATCACTCCACTAATGAATATCAGTATAGAATAATCAATACATTAACTAAACAATTCCAACCAAATAGATATTATTTCAACTTTATAACCTTATATAGCTTGAAAATAAATCGAATATAATGTGAATATGATAATTGAAACTCTATTATTA